ATGGAGTCCTGTCTTCGCCGGCCGCTTCTTCGACCAGTTTGTCGGTTTTCGCTTGTAAGTCTTCGATTTTGTGTGACATCAAACATAAATCATCCACGCGCAAAATCCAGATCTTCTAGGTTCTTCACGTCGGTCCAGGATATCCCTGTCTTCTCGTTTCCAACTGTCTGACTGTTGTTGTTGGTTGGTTGGTTGGTTATTTTCATAACCTCCGTCTTGTCTATGTTCACTTGGAGTCCTGTCTTTGCTGCTTCGATCCAAACGTCGTGCTCATAGAATATGCTGAGAGAGGTTGGGTGATATACGATAAATAACTTTAAAAACTTTGTTAGAGTCGATTTCATGTTCACTATCGACGAGTTGGGCCAGTATTGAGCTGCGTATGCCAGCTTTATTCAGACCTTTGCTAAACCAAGTCTAAAGTGATATAAATTGTCAAACAGTTACTATTGGTTAGATGATTTCATCTTGAGCTGAGAGTACTGGACAGCAGTTCCGTCAGCCTAGTTTGGGACTCTTCACCTGTACGCACCCACCACAGAGGTTCGAACCCTCAGGACCTTCTGGTTTACAAGGCGAGCGACCATTAAGCCAATGGAACCCAATCCGCTGACCAGCCCATGAATTGTAACTTCTTCTTCCAATTCATGACAGCGCGTGGCAACTTCTCAATGTCTTCTTCTTCGATGAGTTACTGCCTCACCTTCAACCTGTTGTGCTGTTAACCTAGTGTTCACGGCTTCCTACTAGAACCTCAGGTAACTATCTCCCTGAATAGAGCCAGCCAGTTGCTAAAGAGCATCAGGTCATCTAACCAATCAAACAAAATCCCTAGAAAACTAATACTTGAAAAACAGTGAAGGGTTGAAAGGATTGACTATTTATTAGGAAAATTAGACTCAATACCCTTGAGTATGCAACCGAAAATTTTTGAGTAAAAATAAAGTTTAACTAGAAAGAGTATAACAATATAACAGGTTACGTAACTGTAGAAAAAATATTTTTTTTCTCTATAAAATAACAAAAGAAACAGGTTAGGATAAGTAATGTTCAAATTTTCTAACCAGGATAAAAGATATAGGAGAATACTTTTCATGTAATAAAATTGTATAACTTTGTTACGTAGATTCATCTGAATACTACTCATATTTGCAGAAAACTGTATACTACTGATTGACTGATTTATTGATTGATTAAGATGAATACTTGTATTTTTTGTTTGTTTTCCTTCACGTTCCCACTGGAACAAAGGGCTTCAAGCTAGTAGCTTGAAGTTTCTGTAGCTGTGTTTTTAATTTTACACGATGGGGTCGCTAGTCTCATGCCCAACCTTTCCTCTTTACCAGCATTATTTCTGGCTTAGCGAGGTAAAGGAGTGCGTCGGTGGCCGGGGGTCGAACCCCGGACCATGTGCATGGTCGATGAGCGTCCTAACCTCTGTGCCACCGACTCACGAAACCTAGCAGTACTGGATAGCTGTTTCGTCCTAATTTGGGACTCCTCAGCAGTACGCACCCACCGAGGTTCGAACCCAGGACCTTCTGGTTACATAGCGAGCTCGTAGACCATTAAGCCACTGGGACCCGAATACTTGTATACCTCTCTCTTTTATCACAGCCAGTAGTGCTTACTTACTAGCCAGCCAGATCGAGGTGATATAAATATCGGACAGCTGTTTCGTTTGTCTTGGGGTCGAACTCAGCTCAATTCAAATCACCAAAGTGTCACCATAAATCATATTCACAGATTCACTCATCTAGGGAGCATCGTTTCAACTACGGACAGTCGGAACTGACAAAGATGTCAAAGTCAGAACCGCAAAAGGTAAGATGCGCCTTCATCAACCTGAAAACAGTTTGCAAATCTTCTACATTAGCTCAACCAGCATAAACACAACATCAAGATTCGAATTTTCAACACAAATGTTAAGTCAGTCACCTCTTCTATATGTGTCAGAAACTTGGCAAGTGTGGCCAGCCAGGAAGAATTAGGCACAAGAAACTGTGGGAACAAACCAACCAAGAGTCAATCGCTCAACTAATATATGGGAGAAAATGGACATAGATCGGTCATAAGGTTGAGAAGGTTGTGGAACGACATCGCACGCCAGGCTAGTATGCTAGTGGAATCCAAATAGGAAACAACGAGTAGGTCATCAGTGACAGGGTGACATGGAGTAGATTGTGCTAGTCAGAGGAGATGATAGATCATGGGCAATCGTGGATCCAGCGGAGCTTGAAGATCTATATTCCACTCGGAATCGAAGGAAATAATAATAGTAATAATATAATGTGCTGCATTGGAACTGTGCAGCCTAACACCTTTGGGTTGCTCTAGAATAGTATAAATCTTGCTATTTTAAAAGAAAATCACAGTGATACGCGTTCATCTATTCACTGATGACAACTTTCCAAATACAACTTATTGCTGCTCATCTACATATCAAGGCACTCATATGACTTTCTTCACCAACTTTTTATTGCTTTATAAAACTTTACCCTTCTCCCATTTTTTTTTGGGTGTATGAACATGTGTGTTACAGTTGCTAAGGTTTTTCTAAGTCTCAAACATTCTTTTAGGGTTAATCATATTAAACTTAATTAAATTCCCTTATTTCTATAATACCACTTGATTGACTGACTATTTATAGTTGACCTCAGTTGATCTCTCACTCGACTTTCACAGACCTCATTTATTACACATTATATTATGTAAAATAAAACTATTTTGTTTTATTGAATGTCAATAAATAGGGGGTGGTCATTTAGCCTAAAGCGCTTATCCTTGAATGAATGTATAGGCTTAAAGTGTCAACCTAATTTCTTTTTCTATTAGAAATCATACAAAGGCGTTACAGATGTGTTGCTTCTTTATTTTGGTAAAATTGCTTTAAATTCCTTCTTATTTATTTAAGTTATGATTAGTAATTTCATTACTATTTTCTTTTATTGTGAATGTTTTAAACATTGTCATGGAATATATGTGTATAGGATATTCATTATACTAAAGGTTTTTTGTTAGACGAGTTAGTATACTCTTTGATGTTAACGAATGAAAAAGGAAAAGAAGAACAAATATCAAACACTACTGAGACTTGCATGCAGGATTTCAGCATGAGCTGCGTCAGTTAGAGAACCACTGGAAAACCTGGGAGTACTGGACAGCTGTTTTGTCCTAGTTTGGGACTCTTCAGCAATACGCACCCACCGGGTTTCGAACCCAGGACCTTCTGGTTACAAGGCGAGCTCGTAGAACATTAAGCCACTGGGATCCGATTCAATGGCCAGCCCATGAATTTTAACTTCTGCCAAGTCACGATATAGCGCGACCACTTCTCAATGTCTACTTCGATGAGTTACTGCCTCATCTTCAACCTGCTGTACCCTACTGGTCGCAGCTTCCCACTAGAACCCCAGGTTAACTGTCTGAATAGGGCCAGTCACTAGTGAGTAGCCAGAAGGTCCTGGGTTCAAACCCCGGTGGGTGCTTCCTACTGAAGAGTCCTAAACTAGGATGAAACAACTGTCCAGTAATCCCAGGTTTTCCAGTGGTTCTCTAACTGACATCAGGTCATGGTGAAATCTTCCATGCAATCAAACAAAATCCCTACAAAAACCAATACTTGAAAACTACTGAGACTCTTAAGCAAAATAACCACCCAAAGAACTTCATCAGAAAAATCAACACAGGCACTAAGTATGGTCGAAAACGTATTCTGAAAATATCGACCTCAACAGTCATCATTGCATATAGAGCAGACACGTCAGAAGATATCAGAAGAGTACTCAATAAGCACGACAGACGTTAGGGTTCTCTTCAAAACATCAGACACACTACAAAGCAACCTTGTTCATATAAAAGACCAAATCCCTAAAGATTCTCTATCTAATTGTGTCTATAAAATAAAATGCTTGGAATGTGATGCGATATACATCGGACAAACATCTCGAGAATTCGAAATGAGAATTAATAAACACAGTAGAGCATCTGTCCGACCACCGAGAAATCCTGTTGAAGTAGAAAATCTTGATAAATCATCAACCAGCCATAACTGGTCTACACGCTATAGAATCAGGCCACAAAATTGATTTTTAACAATATTAAAATAATCCAGAAAAAGCACAATCCAGACATAACAAAAAACGTCTCATTTTATCAGAAGCACTTTATATCAAATGGAATCCAAATTGTCTGAATATGAATAAAGGATTAAAACAGAGCTCGACCTGGTTACAACAACCCCTCCCCCATGAAATAACAAAATCAGTATGAATGCTCTAAGCAATTTCATTATGTTAACACACGCTTCTTTTATAATTTTACACGCTTATCAAATCCAACAATCTACACTTGGTTTTGGTATCTTTACCAACTGGTCAACCTGACGATGTAAAAATGACTCCATACTGAGGAACGATGATGATCAAGGTGTTATATATAAACTGAGATTTTGCGAATTCTGGTTTATTAATAATACATTGATAAAGCTATTAGCAGCAGCATTATATAGCGAAACGTCAGTGAAAACGGCAACAATGTCGTTTTGTTTTTCATTCGTTCATTGGGAAATACAAAACAATTAACAGGCATCCAACTGTAGAAACTTGTTAGTTGATCGTTCCAAATGAGATTTTTCTATGGACTAACCTCCTTATGCTTTCGTCGATTTGTCATTGAGAGTACACACCTTAGCAGCACAGCAGTTCTTTCAAACATGTTGTTAGTATTCCATTGTTCAACTGATTATCGTCTAAATGTATTCACATATAAAATACACACTGTGTTGCCTTAATTGCGACGACATTGCAGGTAATATCGATGAAGGTGTATGGAAGGTGTCACAAAGTAAGCACGTGCATAGATGTTTCCTTATTTATTTATTTATTTTCTTTCGGTTTTTCAAAACATTTTTTCGCATACATTATCTACTTCATCACAAATTTTCTTCTTTTTGTTTTTGTTTCTCCTTATTTTCTCTTCTTAAAAACTTTTGCATACAGAGCTGAACTATTAGCTGATCAATATAGAAAAAAGGCCACATTATACAATAATAACGGACTGGTATTAATTCCACTGGGTGATGATTTTCGTTATATATCAAAGCATGAATGGAATTTACAATTAGAAAATTATAATCAATTAATTCAGTATATTAACTCTAATTCAAATTATAGAATGAAGGTGAGTCATTTTTTTTCGCTTGTGTTAATTTAATGAGATAGTTTGCCTGTATGTGTGTGTGTGTGTGCGTTTATCTGCATGGCTGTCCGTCTATTTATTGGAAGGTGGAACTTAGTTACGTAGATTGGTTGTTTTATTATTTATTCTCTAGCTTCCCAATGGAATATACGGTTCCAGCAGGGCATTTCTATTGTTGTATGTTCCCCGCCATGTTTTTTTGTTAAGCTGGCTCCACGATTGCTTACAACAAGCTTTCGTTTTCGTCTTTGCATATCACTTTCCATTTGCCTTCTACTCAAGGATCTGACGTGTTACATCACTTGACAATCTCCCCAGTTTGTCGTCAATCCGGTTGCAATTCCTTCTGCATATATGTTGAACAGTATGTTGTTGTCTAGTTCACTGCCGCCTAACAGAGTTCCTTACCGGCTATCTGATTATCTGATTAGTATGGAGCGAAGATGGACGGCCGCTGATGAAAACAATCCATCTTTTGGTTGATAGCTATGAGACAATTCTTGTATATAAGGACATGATAGAACTACTACTAAACAAGTTGCCCATAGTGAAGTAGGTATAGAGTCGGATTGTAATTCTATGTATGGCTAGCCATGGGATCTCTATTCTGTGTGTATGTTTGTGTGTGCAGGTGAAGTGGGTAATGGTTTCAAATTATTTACTACTGTACTTAGAATAATTGTTTTATCCTAGCTTCTAGGATTCATTAGCCGTTGGTTGAATGCTTTTCACAGTATTCAGCGGGATCAAAGTTAGGATGGTTATTATTATTATTGTCCCCTTGGGTTCCTAGTGGAACGCGGGGCTTCAACTGCACGTCTCCACTTGCTTCTGTCTTCTGCTGTACTTTTCACCTGCATCCATGTTAGTTAGTCCATACTGTTTCAACTCCTCTTCACACGATCTCCTCCGTGTCACTCTTGCACTGACGTATCACTCTCCACTCCCCTTCGGGGTTCCACTCGGTTACGGCGCCAGCTTGCAGGCTATTCAGCCATTGGGTTCCAACCCAGTGGTCTATGAGTTCCATCTTCCGCCGATTCTCAACACCCTAATAATCGGAAGGTTCTGGGTTCGAACCCCGTTGGGTGCGTGTATTGCTGAAGAGTCCTAAACTGGGACGAAACAGCCACCCACTACTTTCAAGTCCTGTAACTAATCAAATCCCTGCAAACCAACACTTGAAAACATATTGTCTTGTAGTTCCTATTCAGGCCTGACATTACTTGATATCATTTCAAATGCTGAGTCTCAGTTAACATGACACTCTTTCATAAGAAAGATAGCTTTAATTTAAAAAAAACATTTTTGCTGTTTGAAACTATGGTTACTCGCTAGGAAACGCCATTACTACATCCATGTGGTGAGTTTCGAACAGGAGAAACAAAATATGCATATGAGGTGTTCGTTTGGTGGCAATAGCTAACATGATAAAATTATTTTTAGTAGGACATTTAATCATCTCAGCTGGATGCTCACTAGTCGAGTATATATATATATATATATATATATATATATAGGCTGGCGAAACCAGCTGTCCAGTACTCCAGTGCTGGTTTTCCAGTGATTCTCTAACTGATGTCATCTCATGAATGAAATACTCCAAGCAATCAAAATTAAAGTGTTGGTTTGTAGGGATTTGATTGCTTTTGGGATTTCATCATGAGCTGTACTTCCAGTACTCCCAGGTTTTCCAATGGTGCGTACTGTTTAACAGTCCCAAACTAGCACGAAACAGCTGTCCAGTACTTTCAGGTTTTTCAGTGGTTCTCTTACCACTGTCAGCGCATGATGAAATCCTGTAACCAATCAAAATTAAACTACCCTAACCCATGGGGTAGAAACACACAATTGATTTTGAAGGGCGAGCAACCAGAACAACCTGTGTGGTTTTTTAACAAAGATAATGATATTTTTTAAGTTAAAACAGAATTTTTTTTGTTCAGCGAAGAAATTTCTTTTCAATGACTTCATTTTCAAGGTGTACAGTCGTATTTATACTACCGAAAAAGGTTATTAAGTGGCACTAAGTAATTGCTCAGTCAATATACATATATAAGTGATAAGAATGACGATAATTAAAATGTTATAAGGGGTAGAGTTGAACTGCATGGATCACACAAAATTCAATGATTGTTTTATAAGTGAGTTAATACCAAAAATATTTTTTTTAATGTCAGGTGTTGTCTAAAAATTTTAAAAATTAGGAGTACGATTACGATAAGAATAAAGATGTGAAGTGAAGTGGAATGAATTCAAGTAGTAAAATAAAATAAAAACTAGGAAGAACATTACTATGACAAGACATTTTTGAACACATAATTTAGGTTTCTGTTCATGTATAACTAAAGCTTCGGTTAGCTATGTACAAGTGAAGAAAACGTAAACTTTTGGAGCGATTCGATTTTGCCATGTAGATAACCTTGAAGGATGAATCATGTAGGGCTGAATGACCAGACTCTAACAGGTGATCACAAATAAACGACTTCACAGTTCTACATTCACCTTTCATTCACCATACCGGATAGTGTTCAGCTACACGTTTTCGGAGAGTACGCTTACAGCGTCCAATATAATCAGCTCCACAGGAGCAGGTACACACACATTTAAACAGAATATTTTTTTCTCTAACATGACCTTAAAATATCTCCCGATTTCAAAGAGTAGTAGATTATCAGTTTCTGTTTTTAAGTCAGACCACTCTCTGTACATGTATTGTTGACCGAAGCGACTGAAGATGAGTTCTATATGTGACTCATGAATAGTTCTTTCTCAAAAGTCATCGATTGAATTAATATACGTTACAGTAAGGAAGTCGACAACTATTTACTGAAACATCCTAATCTTAATCCCAACCTCAAACCTCCTAACCCTAACGAGTTATCAACACATTGTCTAAACAGTAATCAGGATAAAATTGGCACCACACTTCGTGAACACCGTTCATAATAGAGTTATCATATTTGTAGGTCTCGTTATCCAGCGAGTACTATACGTTCAAGGTCATTGGTGTGTTTGTACTCTTGGATCACTAGACTTGGTCGTTTGTATTGACCTAAGTGTTCCGTGTGTTTGATTGTCTCAGTGAGAATACACCATCATTTTCTGAATGATTGGGTATTCAGGTACACCTAATCGGATTAGTCCCAAAGAAGGCACGAAATGCACGTCTACTACTAGTTTCCACTGCTAGTCATCAATTGCACACCAAATAAAACCTTATTTGTTTCAGGTTAGAACATGGATTGATATCAGTTAGAGAGAACTATTGGGAACCAGCACTGGAGTACTAGACAGTCGTTTCGTCTGCCTAGTTCAAGACTCATCGACAGCACGCACCCACTGGGTTTCGAACCCAAGACCTTCCGGTTAGAGGGTAAGCTAATATGCTACCATTCAGCCACTGGGACCCGATTCAATAGCTCATGAATTCTAACTTCTCACATTTCATGATTTTATTGCTTCATCGACACCAACCAATAATCAATTTACTTTCCAGAACTTAACATAAAAATAAAATGGCTACAGAGTCTAAAATATGTACAAGGTCTAAGCATCATCATATCACATACCATAAACTATAAATAATCTGACAAAGTTTAAGGTCATTTGTTATTGATTAATTGATTATTGTGTTTTCATGAGGGTTTCTTTTGTTATTTATATTAGGCTTTATTGTTATTCAGAGATGTACAGTGTACAGCATTACTCACATGTCTATATAAGACAGAAAGACAGAATGAGTGAGAGAAAGAGAGAGAGCGAGGGAGGTCAGTAGAAGCGATAACAATCAATTGAGTAATTTAAAAGAAACTCATATTGAATAGTTTTAAACAATATGTGATACTTAGAAATTATCATTATTATAATTTCTTTGAATTCTCCGTTGAAATGTGAAATCGTAAAAATAGAAATGTATTGCTATTATTATTATTAGTTCATGTTAATTTTTTAATTTTATTATAGCTTGATTCCATTCAGTATTTTGGTACAAGTATGATGTAATGCTTTTGTGCGTCGGTGGCAGCAGTTAGGACGCGCTTGCTGACCATGCGCATTGTCCGGGGTTCTATCCCCGGCCACCGACGCGCACTCCTTTACCTCGCTAAGCCAGAAATAATGCTGGTAAAGAGAGAAAGTTGGGCATGGGGCTAGCTAGCAACCCCATCATGTAAAAATAATCATCACTGCTACAGAAACTTCAATCCACTAGCTTGAGGCCCTATGTTCCGCTGTGGAACGTGAAGGAAAAAAATGTAATTTTCAGCATGTGATATCGGTAGCCTAAATTTAGCAGTCTGACTTTTGATATCAGGTGTACGTCGGCGGGGGATCGAACCCTGGACCATGTCCATGGTCGGCGAGAGTTCTAACCACTCTGCCACCGACTCACATGGGATAACACTTTTGTAGTGCACGTTGAGCGTTTACGTTGTGACTTGATTAGGAGTCACTTGAATAGTGCTCACCCAGAGGTCCATTTCACTTGCAGAGGAGCATACAATGATCCCCTTCACTTCCTCGACATCTTGATAACGAGGAGAGAGAGAGAGAGTATGGTTAAATTAACAGAACCAATATGTAGGAAGCTAAAGACCATAGCTCAGTGTACACACACTTCATTAGCTTCTTCCCTATGATGAAATCGAAACATGATCTGATCAAATGCTTAGAATTTCTAGCACGGTCAACTTGCTCCGAAGATTGTCTAGAGGAAGAACTCCAGGTTACCCGAGATATTCTAGGCGAAGATGGATATCCAGAAAAGTTTATAAAAGTCAGCATAGTTTGTATTAATCGTTAACATGAACTAGCAGTGGTGGAGAAAAAGCCATTATTTTTATGTCTACAATTCATTGGAGATACTCCTGCGGTAAAGAAAGCCTTCTACTCTGCACATCTGTCCCCCTGGCCTTCAGTGGCCGTCCAGTGTTTACCCAGAAACTGAGAGACATCTAACCGAACTTAGCTCTTCTTCATGCATATGCTATTTCAACTGTTGCTGTGGTTCAAATTATATGGAGGGGGGTGTTACAATTGGTCAGGTTCGTCTAGCAAGGGGGTTGGTAAAACCAAACTCATTGAAAGTTCGATTCTGTCACACTTGGCACAACATACTGAACGTGACATTGATACCAACATAGCCTTCAGGGTTATATAACAAATTCCGAAGTCGTTATCACGCACAGTTAGCTTACATCTTTTACATATAGCTGAAGCTGTTGCAATAAGATCGATTAAACGCGAATTTTATATTCAAAAAGAACACACACGTCCAGGCGCATTTTGTATCGTGGCCAAACGTGGATTAAAATTTCTTCGTCTCCCGAAGAGTGTCTCTTTTCCTTATCCCTTTTTTCTTTTGGTTTGCTGTGCTTATGATTATTATTATTTTTCGTTATAATTTATACCCTTCATTTTAGCATTCTTTCAAAACTACCGAATTTTCCATTCATACTGTCCTAACTTATTATTAGTAATATTATATCTTTTCTCAATACATGCCTCCACCTGTTTCGCTTCACATGTTAGTTATTTCCTTCCCTTCCCTTCCCCACACTGTATGAACCTGTTATGACCAAACATCACCATTGCCCCGTCTGATTTTACAATATTTTGTAATTTATTTCAGCCTACTAGCACGTCTGTCACACAAATACTACTATTAATTTTATCACCCTATAACTACTAATCTGTTATTCTACGTAGAAATGTATCCATCGCATAACTGACCATTAACTGTAACAATGCTAAATATCATATATTTTATAATTGTAAGAACTTGAAGCAGGGAAATTATTGATTATTAAAAATTATTATTATTATTATTACTATTCCTTTGAATTCTGAGTGGAACATAGACCCTTAGTGGCACATTCACATTTATTATTTATTATTATTATTCACATTTATTTTATTATCTCCTGAGATAATCTTTTTGGCGAATTCCAACAATAGAGCCCCAGGAGTGCGAAAGCTCCAATGATCTTGAACGCATGCTGGTCGTTGGCTAACGACACCTGTCTTCCTAATGACCACCACATTGTCATTACTTGATAATGTTTTAAACTTAACAGTAAATGTAGTGCCTTTTCAAGTCATGTATACATGTCATGTCTATACATGCGTACAGCATAGCTCTGAATTATTATTTATTTTACTAGTATTGAGATAGTAGGAGCTCTCTTTGTCAACGATTCGTTTGCTCATCTTGTTTTCACATTCCGGTGGTTGGATCATGGAGACAGAACTGATTAACTTGAACACTTTATGTTCATACATTTATTCCTCTTAATGAATTTGAATGAAGCAAGAACAAGAATGGTTTGTGCAGAATAAAATGCTATCATCAGTGATTATTTTGTTGGCTCCTCATCAACTGCTTACAGCCCAAAAACGTTATTGAGTTTATATACAGAAACAATTTTAACATACTCACAAAGTGAGTTCATTTTTAAACGAAAAATCAGTGTATGCACACATTGGTAATAATAATAATAAGAGCAATAATCACTTTATCCCAAACAATAATCATACACAATGGAATTTTTCGGTATTGCGTAATCAAATGAGAGAGTAGATGAAAACATCGAGTTACCAGGGGAAGGAAAGAATAATAGCCGCTTCCTTCTGAACACATAAACCGGGCTTCAAGCACTTGATGGAGATTGTTTCGATAAACTTGAGGAGAATTGAATTCTTTCGTACGTTGATAATTTTGAACGATTTCGTGAGGTCCCTCTCATGACTCTTATCATATATAGCATGAGGTGGACGTCGCAAGATTGTTCAAAATTATCAATAGGTGCAAAAGAGTTCAATTCTCTTCAAGTTTGCTGAAGCCATTTCCATCAAGCGCCTGAAAGCCGATTTATGCATTCAGAAAGAAACAGTTATCAGTCTTTCTTTGCCCTGGTTACTGGATATTTTCACCTCTCTTTCACCTGACTACATAATGCCGAAAGTTTCCATTGTGTTTGATCATTATTGTTCGGTATAGTGTTATATATATTACTGTATGCATATATCGATTGATTGGTGGTTGTTTAAAAATGAACTCTGTGCAAGTATGTTAAAATTCTTTCTGTAGATGTATTTAATAATGACTTTGTCATGTAAGCAGCTGATGAGAAGCCAACGAAATAAGCAATGATGATACCATTTTATTCTGCAAAAACTGTTGTTATAATAATAATAATAATAATTTTTGCTTTATTCCAAAAACAGTACTAATGATACAGCAAGGAATTTTCAGCATTCAGTACAATATTGCATCTAATTTACTCAAAACGACAAAAAAAATGAACGTTACATAATAATAATAACAAATCGTTGTTATATCAGCTATGTGGCAAATTACAGTATACGATAAGGAGAAAAATGTGCATAAAGTATAAAATTATAGTAATAAAAGTAATAACAGCTAAAATAAAATAGCAAAGCTAGAATTAAACGTAAGAAAGAGTGACACCATAAAATTACAGAAAGATGAACAATGGAAGGGTCGATTTACTTTGCCAATTTCATAGTAACGTATATGTTTCACGTTTGACAGTGTCTTCATCACATTCATGGGCCATTGGATCGGGTCCCGGTGGCTTAATGGTATACGAGATCGCTAGCCTTTTAACCAGAAGGCCCTGGGTTCGAATCCCGATGGGTGCGTATTGCTGAAGAGTCCCAAACTAGGCTGACGAAACAGCTGTCCATTACTCCCCGCAGGTTTTCCATTGGTTCTCTAACTAATGTTAGCTCATGATGAAATCCTGAAACCAATCAAATCCCCACAAACCAATACTTGAATACTTTATTTCTAGTTGATGACTCCCAGGTGTAAATTTCGTCCCAACTACTTTTGGTCTAATCAACTGAGTAGTATCACCACCAGGCTTCACATAGATAAATACCTCTGATGTCCTGATAGTGTTGACGTTGTAGTTAGTGATTAGTTTAGGCGTATGTTTACTGTGTTAAATGTTACATTACCCTGATCATAACATAGTTTACTATTAATATACAGTATTCATGAAGTGTTTCAGTTGGATTACCCCTTCATTTTATTGATTTTCTTTTTTGCTCTATTTTTATATTAATCTTACAGATACGTTTTGCAACAATATCAGATTATTTTACAGTGTTAAGTGAACGAGTGAATGAAGCTCACTCTTCATTGCCTGCATTCTTTCCATCCTTGTCGGGTGATTTTTTCACCTATGCTGATAGACAACATGACTATTGGAGTGGATATTACAATTCACGTCCATATCAAAAGGCTTTATCACGTTTATTAGAATCGGAATTAAGGTATGTATTATTTATGTATCTTATTTATTTTTTCATTTGTGGTCAGTTGATGAGGTTTAGAACACGTGTTCCTCCTACGAAGCTATTACGTCCCTTGTTGGCCAGTGTTAGCTGACATATACGGTTAGGTTGGTTGAGTGATGGTTGAGTGTGTTGACTACTAAGTGTTAACAAAAGCTCAGAACGGATGAAACAATAACACACTCGTATGATATCTCTGCTAATTTACATAATATCTTGAGAAGACATGATATCCGGCTATCGGTCAAAAGATACGTGTACTGCACACTACTTCTCTCTGTCCCTTTTTTATGGCTATGGGATATAGCCGTTGAAATTAGAAGACGTGAAGAAGCTAGCTGTCTTTGACCACAAGTAATTAACGTTCACTCTTAATTGTTATAATATGGTTGAGTAATATTGTGACTAGGGCAATTCAATTGACAAAGTTATGAAGTTGCATTGAATTGGGGGGAGGGAAACACATTATACCCTTCTAATCATCATATTTCTCATGGAGAAATGTTTTCTGATATAGGGTTGCCTTGGAAAACGTACAATTACTCCAGTAGTGGATGCATCCACTCCTAGGTGGGATATTTCTACAACTTTGATATGTAATGGCCATAGGAATATTTTTTGACCTCTCTCAAAATTCTTATAAATAATAATGAACAGTGTGTGTGTGTGTGATGGAGAATTATTTTTTATAATGCATTGGAGTTCTAGCAATAAGTCGTGACCAGTGAGGTTCATCCAGTCAAGCGTGAGGATGGATGTCCCACCGATGACATTGGTTGGTGCCAGTTGCGCTTAATCACGAATTGATAGAAGTTAGAACTAATGAGCTATTGAATCGGGTCCCAATGGATGAAAGGTATATGAGCTAGCTTGCCTTGTAACCGGGAGGTCCTGGGTTCGAATCCTGGCTATGGGTGCCTACTTCCGATGATTCCCAAACTAGGCGGAAAGAACAGCTTTCCAGTAACTCCAGTACTGGTTTCCAATGGTTCTCTAATTGATACCAATCCGTGATCAACTCGTCAAAACAAATCTAATCCTTACAAAACAACTATTGAACACGCATTATTTGTTTTACACATATTAGCGTCCTGCTTAAACTTTTTGACTATCTTAATTTTTCCATCTGGTTACAAGGTGAGCTGGAAGACCATTAAGCCACCAGTCCTAGGTTCGAATCCCAGTTGGTGTATACTGAGGAGAGTCTCAAACTAGGACAAAACTACTATCTATTACTCCCAGGTTCTCCAGTAGTTCTCGAACTGATGTCAGCTTTTGACGAAATCCTCCAGGCAATCAAAGAGAATCCCTACAAACCAATACTTGAAGACTTTATATAGTTAGTTTAATTCCCCAGGGGAATGACAGTTTGTAGAAATAAAATGTCAAGAATTGTCATCTCATGTGCATTGGGATATTCTGCGACCCCACACTTATGCTCTTTCTCAAGTTTATTAGAAGCACGTGAGTCAATAAGCTGTAGGAACCTTTTGACCACTCTCTAGAGTAAACAATACCATCCGAGAGGTCAAGGTGAACACAAGAAATAAAATGCAACATGATGAGATGGAGGTTTTGGGGCTAAGTTAAACTTTCGACACCATTAACTACCAATCAGCGAACGACGTCGAATTATCCAATGAGATTCACGAACGTAGTTCACTGTTGTATAGCGCTTATTAAATACTATTAGCATTAAATAGCGAAAGGTCAGTAAAAACAATATCGTTTTGTTTTTCATTCACTGGGAAATTCAAAAACCTTTATTATAATTGTATAGCGCTTGATTCATTTCTAATGCGTGACCTTACAAGGTTACGGTTGCGATTCGAGGAGGACAGTGTTTTCCAGTATTGCCTGGATTTAGGGTTGCTCCGGAAGGAGCGAACTTGTTCCTGTGGTGGTATCATGACTTTAAAAAGCTAAAGCAGATCAACTGATGGATTTGTTCATCGTTGTGCTATATTTTCGAAGCGTGCTAACATTAGAGATGGTAAGCTGATAATTTTAATATTTCGTAGGAACTTTTTTCGCTGGGTTGCATCTCTCCCTAACCCAGATTTTGTATATCTGCAACTACTGGCTGTTGAGACAGCCGGTGAGAGCAGCAACTGCCGAGACGGAGAATAGCCTCATCTCAACAGTTCAGTGGTACGAGCATTGCAGAGATATTGCCTCGTAGAAAATAGAGAAAATCACTTGTTTGCTGGGTGGATCCCGTTACGAGGACTCATACGAATTCCATTGAAGGGTTTTGGGGCCGCTTGAAAACAGGACAAGGGCTATAAATGGGTCTCAAAAGGATCTCATTTATAGTCATTTAGATGAATATATGTTCAAGATGTGGTATGACTTCTCCATTGACAGTCCCACACTAAACTGGGAGATGTTTCTCTCGGATGCTCGAGAAAGATACCCCTTGTAACCTTTTTATCCCTTTTTTATGCTTTTTTCTATAAATATACTTTTCTATTTATCATATATACCTCTTTGATGTGATTGGTCCGTTCAAGGTCGTTTGCTGATTGGTTGTTAGTGATGTCGAAAGTTTAACTTTGCCGGTTTTCAAGTGTTGGTTTGTGGGGATTTGATTGGTTTCAGGATTTCATCATGAGCTAACATTAGTTAGAGAACCAATGGAAAACCTGCGGGAGTACTGGACAGCTGTTTCGTCAACCTAGTTTGGGACTCTTCAGCAGTACGCACCCGCCGGGATTCGAACCCAGGACCTTCTGGTTACAAGGCTAGCGATCTCGTATACCATTAAGCCACCGGGACCCGATCCATTGGTCCTTGAATTCTAACTTCTGCCAATTCACGACATAGCGCGACCGCTAGCCGGTTTTGGTGTGGCGTATTGTAAGTTTTAAGCAGGCTAACCCACACACCCCTACTAGAATATTGTATTTTTGATTGTATTTTGTTCTGTGTTAAAAATTTTACCTTTTCTTGTGTTACTGTTGTTCTTCTCTTTTCTCTTTTTTTTCGCTTGACATTCCACTGAAAACTGCCAACACTCCTACGTGCTCCTGGTTTCTCTAATAATAAAAAACTATAGAACTGCTGAAATTCTCTATACTTATGCAAGACAAAGTGTTGGTCGTAAACAGAATATTGTTCAATTATTACCATTGATATCCAGTCTATACGAGAATTTAACAACAGTTCGACGTAATTTAGGGTTATTTCAACATCATGATGCCATAACTGGTACTGCAAAACCTGAAGTTGTGCTGGATTATTCAAATAAGTAAGCATAGCACTCTATATTTTAAATAAAAATTTTTTATATTTTTTTATTATGTACTGACTTTGAGTCATTTATTTTTTTTTTGATTTTTTTGATTTTTGATTTACAGCTTGATTCCACACTCTATTTTTGGTACAAGTATGGAATTTTCAGCATGGATATCGGTAGCCCAAATTTTGCAGGCCGACCATAGATATCAGGTGTGCGCCGGCGTGGGCTCGAACCCCGGACCATGTGCATGGTCGGCGAGAGTCCTAACCACTGTACCGCCGACGCAGTTATGAGTCATATAGCCTTACTGTGGATCATCCACTCACTGCAATTTTAGTTCATATTTATGTCAGCTTCACAAAAATTCAACTTGCACTATATGATTGTAAATGTTCTTGTAGTTTAATCTCTCAATTATTATTATATCCTTTAATTCCTAGAGGAACATAGGGCTCCAGCTGCGCGTCTCCATTGCCTTCGGTTTTCTGCCAAATTTTTCACCCTGCTCCAAGTCTGCCCACATGCTTTCATCTCCTCTTCACATGACCTTCTCCAACTCACCCTTGCACTGACGACCAACTCGCCGCTTCCCTTTCGGGTTCCACTCCAGCGATGGCATGGCGTGTGATGTCACTTGATGGTTTCCTCAGAGAATGGCCAATCCATCTCCATCTCTTCCTGCCTATTTGTTTCACAATCAGTTCCTGCTGTGTTGGTTCGCGCATTGCCAGAGATCCCTGTTGCTGATCTTTTCTGGCCAGCCATCTGATCTTGAGTATTGAGCGTCGGTGGCACAGTGGTTAGGACTCTCGCCGACCATGCACATGGTCCGGGGTTCGAGCCCACGCCGGCGCACACCTGATATCTATGGTCGGCCTGCAAAATTTGGGCTACCGATATCCATGCTGAAAATTCCATACTTGTACCAAAAATACGGTGTGGAATCAAGCTGTAAATCAAAAAAAAAAAAGACAACTGTTAATGAAGATCTGAAGTTTGTTTGAGATGCTCTTTATGACCCGCAGTGCAAGTCTCTAATCCGTATAGTAGCACTGACTTCACATTGGAGTTGAAAATCCGGATCTTATCTTGTATGCTGAGGAGTGATGTTGACCTCCACACCGACTTAAGAGTAATGAAAGCTTGTCTTGCTTTTCCGATTCTGGCGTTGATATCCTCGTCAGTTCTGTCTGCCTGTAGTTGAAACGATGCTTCCCGGGCAGGTAGGTAAAGGAGATTCCCATTTATGCTGATTGTTGTCTTTTGTTGTTGTTGCTGTTGGTGTTGGCCAGGAATCTCCATCACCTCTGTTTTCTCTGTGTTTACTTGGAGTCCTATCTTCTCTGGATGCTTCTTCTGCCAGCTTGTTGCTTTTCACTTGCATATCTTCCAGTTTGTGGGAAATCAGACATATATCATCGGCGAAGTCCAGTTTCTCCAAGTTTTTTGTGTGAGTCCATTTTATGCCTGTTTCCTCATTGCCCGTTGTCTGTCGCATTATCCAATTTACTGCAGTCAGGAAGATCATTGGCGATAGTAGACAGCCTTGCCTCACTCCCGTCCTCACTTCAAAGGCTTCCGTAAGTTTCTCTCAATACAAACGAGATTTATGGCACAGTCGGACCTACAGTATAAATAATTTCACAAGATGCAAGCTCGTCTACAACGTCAAATTAGTAGCTACCTGATATGTTACAGGATAGCACACTTTGAAAGACAGTTCCACTGGCCTTATAACTACGCTGAAGTTGCTCAGTATCTAACATTTACTTCAATCCAAAAATGTAGACTTTTGTGTCAATTCTACGGTGAAACGTCAGCTCAGTTCACAATACGACATGTCTGATGAATAGTTTTTACAGTTTTAGTTCCTGGAAGATGGTGAAATCAAATTCGAATTCTGTGGTATAAGACACCCACTATTATTATTTTCGATATTAGTATTAAAACAAGGGGTATTGGGCAGCTGTTTTATTCAAGTTCGAGATTTCCCAGCGGTATGAGCCCACCACTCCTTTCAAGCATCGAACCCAGGACCCTAAGGTTACCGTCATTCAATCATTGGTTAGAAGATGGGATTTAATCCAAGACGAAGTTGTGATGAGGAGCCCTGACAAGTGGGATGCACCAGCTCGGGTGTGTCATTTTATGTTCCTTTACGTTCGTAGTGGAACATAGGGCTTTAAGCTAGAGGCTTGAAGTTTCGGTAGCAGTGGTGTTTATTTTTATGGGATGAGGTTGCTAGCTTCATACCCAACTTTCCGTCTTTACCAGTCTTGCTGGCAGTTTAGCGAGGTAATGGAGTGTGTCGGTCGAGGATCGCACCCCGGACCACATGCATGGTTGGCGAGTATTCTGCTGTCGTGCCACCAACGCACTAGTCGACGAATACTCGCCGATGACTCTCCAGCTAGCGGTGGCACTATCAGTCGTGGAATTCCGGAAGTTAGAATTCATTGTTCATTGGATTCAGCTCCAGTGGTTGAATAGTTGACATGCTTGCCTTGTAACCTAAACTCCATGATCCCCCCCGCCTCTCCTCTCACTGGTGTTTTCATGGTTGAATTCTGCTGAAGAGACCCAATTACGATTAGAGGATATGCAGAAGTTGTTAATGAAGGAGAAGGAGGTTCTTCGTTCACTAATCAGTCTTGTAAAATTATTTGTATTCGTGCGTCGGTGGCACAGTGGTTAGGGCTCTCGCCGACTATGCACATGGTCCGAGGTTCGATCCCCTGCCGACCAATGCACATCTGATATCTACGGTCGTTCTGCAAACTTTGTGCTACCGATATCCATGCTGAAAATTCCATACTTGTACCAAAAATAGAGTGTGGAATCAAGCTGTAAATCAAAAATTAAAAAATAATACAAAAAATTACAATTTTTTTAAAAACAAAAACAATTTTTTATTTTTAGATTATTGAAAGCTGTTGGTGCAGTAAGAAAAGTGATAACTCTGTCCAGTGTTTACTTATTATCCTTATCATCGAAATTACTCAATGAAGAAATGTCGAATCGTCTACCAATCTCAAGTGAATTAAAACAACAATTATTACAATTAAATGATGAATATGAAAGATTTAATGAAAATGATTATAATATTAATAGTAATAATAATCTGCCTAGTTTTCATTCTCTTGAAGATCATTTACATACTCATGAATTTCCACAACCAATTTTAATCAATTTCTTAATAACTAATCCTGCAACTGAACACTCACGGTTTGTTGTTGTTGTTTTGTTTACATTGACTTTGTTTGTATTTTATCTATGTACAATTCGCTGCTCCATTTCGGACGTGAAAAAATGACTTGTTATCTTTGAGTGAGTTTCGATTAACTCTATGTCTTCGCCTTGAAGTGTTCTTCATATCTTTAGAAGGGGGATATGAGTTCCCTCCTTCAAGGTTGTAGATACGCCTTGCTGACTGGCGACTGGCAACAACAACAACAACGAAACTCCTAGGTCAAGCTAGGCCTTTTGTTGATGGCAGCTTCCAACCGTCTAATATCAACAATTCAAAGTATGATGAAGAAGATTTGTAGCTCAGGTGGATGGTCTTGATGTGATTGGTTGTTCATGTTCAAGGTCACCACGGAAGAGGACTAATAAACTCTCTCGTGGAGAAATCTAAAAGTTCACTTCAATTCAAGTTGAAGTATGCACTGAGGCTGTTGCCTAGTAGGGGGCAATGAAAACTTCGCAAATAAACTACCCAGCTCAGAGAACACAACCAAAGTGCATTGTTGATGGTGTGCCAGCCATCTAGAATTGTGGCTATATTTCAACAAACAAAGGATTAGACACATTATGCTAGTTACTCACGAGTGTTCAATCAAATGCTCTCTTCTGCAGCCTGGCATTCTCACATCCACTGCTAGATAACTCCTATTCACTGTTGTAATGCAGTGAAAGTACGCATGCTGACTGATCGGCTTAGGGAGTTAGTCACCTAATGACGTTAGCAATTTGTAATCTACATGAGTACAAAAAACATGACAGCATTTTTTTTGGTCATCGGCAGCAATGGGATCACTATTCTCCTGCCTTAGGTGGATTAAACTTCAATTCGATAATTTTGACGAGTAGTCACTACTTAAGAGACAATTACTTGATTTAGTTTGGTTGTCTGGGCAACTGTTTCATGCCCCATAGAAATTCCGAGAGTAATATTGTAACAACAGAAGACAAGGGCCAGGCAACAGATTCCTTTATTAAGGAAATCAACACATATTTATAGATTATTGTTAGCAGAAAAACACAGTCCTCTGATTGGTTGTTTCTCACAGAAAGTTAACCTTGCATCTCTTTTTGGCTGTTTCTTGAATGTCAGATCATCCACATGTTAACTCTATCCGCCCACGCAAGGCCTTTCTTCGCATTTTCCTCACGACCAATATTGGGGACATAACCATTGACGTAAATTACTGTCCACCAATTTTGGCTAACAGCCAGCTCTCACCACAATATCACATCATTAAGAAGACGTAGTTTATTTGGATTGTATAGTGAGTATTGGCTTAACATATTATACACTCTGATCACGCATGTACACACATTGATATAGAAGGCAAGAGACCATGAATTATTACTACAATACAGATCAAATTGTATAAAGGTCAAGGTCATAAATAAGAGGTGGTCAGATGGCATAAGGATGTGGCGTAAGCAAAAATCTAGAAGGCGGTGAAGACATTATTATCAAGTAAATCGAATCCTACTTTTTTATGGTCAAGGCTTGAATGACCTGAAATTGTTTTATATATGAGGGTTTAGAGACATTATTGAAATCAACCCCTTGTGACCGGTATGTATGATTTACTTGACGATAGATGATGTTGTACATTATTTCCAGGATTATAGTTGTATTCAGTGATTTTAATTGTTGTTGCAGCCATTTATCAGAATACATACTGTAGCCCTAACCTCTGCAGACACCTATGGGTCCTGCCTATGTACTAGTGTCCACACATACTTGTATATTGGTAAACACGGTGCGTTGCTTTGAGGATTTACAGGAAAGCACAGATCTCAATTTTTCCCTAAGAAAATAAATTAAGCTTCACAACAACTTCTCTTAATTACCTCCCTGAGTCTTTCTCCATTGATCAGATTTTATTGATCACCATTGAATATCAAAGAAGTGTAACCATCCTTTTTGGAGGTTGATTGGATCAATGGAGCCCTTTGTTTGATACTTATGTGACACTTAGTGAATTTCGGAGGATACTTGTTATCTAACAGTGTTTTAGTTAGGTATTTTTCTTCTTCAATACTATCGTCTGTACATATGCGCTGGATGCGTCTCAATAAGCACTTAACCAACGCTTTTTATACTGTAGTGGACAGAAAGTATGAAAATTTACATACTTTCCCATCCACATAGACTTTCTGTAAACAGATTGTCCTATTAATCCATCTTGTCGGCACTTTATGAGTACATCTAAAAACGGTAAGGAATTGTTATTCTCTTTCACGTATGTTAATGATATGCTCTTTTGTACTGTATTTATCTGGCTAAAGATTCCTATACCATCCATTGGTTTATTATCACACATGACTATTATGTTATTCATGTATCTCTTATAAAAATAAACTTTTCCAATCACGTCACCTGTTAGGTCCTCAGCATGCCGCATATAAATTATTATTATTATTATTGTTCCCTTGGGTTCCTAGTGGAACATAGTTTCAACTGCACGTCTCCACTTGCTTCTGTCTTCCTTCTGCTGTACCTTTCACCTGCATCCATGTTAGTCCATACTCTTTCAACTCCTCTTCACACGATCTCTTCCATGTCACTCTTGCACGACATCCCACTCCCCGCTTCCCTTTCGGCCTGGTTCCACTCGAGCAGTGGCCTGACGCGCGAGCGATGTCACCCAGCGGCCCGGCCTCCTCAGCCGCGAGTGTCCAATCCGTCTTCACTTTCTCCTGCATATTTGTTGGTTGGCGATTGGTTCTTGTTTTGTTTGTTTGTTTCCATAGTTTCTTGTTGGTGATTCTTTCCGGCCCCTCGGTCATCTGATCTTCAGTATAGAGCGAGGACAGTTGTTGGTTGATGAAGGTCTGTAACAGGCTGTTGGAAATATTCTTTGTGACCCTCCCGCCAAGTTTCTGATCCGTAGAGAAGAACTGGCTTGACGTTTGTATTGAAAATTCGAATATACATATATATATATATGTATATATATATATATATATATATATATATATATATATATATATATATATATATAAACTAAAACTGGAACCTCAGGGACATTTTCCACAGAATAGTCCCAAACTAGGACGAGACGGCTGTCTGGCTGTACTCCCAGCTGGTTTTCTAATACACACTCCTCTAACCCATATCATTTCACGATGAAATCCTGTAACCAATCAATCATATGCCTGCAAACCAGCTCGTGAATTTGACTTTTGTTAAATACTATCATGTGTCAGAATAAATTTATGATCATATGTGTAATTTAATTAGGTTAATACAAAGTTGACTTCATGTTTTGTCACGCCGCTTTATTCTGTTTTAATGCATTGCTTTAAATGACATCATTCGACACAGCATATCCTAATATATAACAATGAATGAAAATAGTATGGCTGAAGACTTGTAGCCTTTTAAATGATGATACTTGTTTGACATTGTAACAATGCAGTGATATATGAATGATAGCAGAATTGTTTATTTTGGTGTACGGTGAGATGGTTTGCGAAAACAAAGTGGTTGAGTGTGTATGGATCACTTCACTTATCTCAAAAAACTTGCATCAACACTAACTAATGCGATTGATTGCAGACGAAATCTTATAATGGATATAGGAAACTCGTGTGGCATTCACGAACACATACGAAATGATCTTTGGTGTGTAGACGTGATATTCAGCTATTGATCATATAACGTGTGTATTGCGCAACACTTCACCCTTTTTTCATAGATGTAAAATATGGTCATTGAAAGTGGACAATGTAAGGTGATTACACATTCTTCACCATAGATATCGGCAATGAGTCTTTCATGTTTGATGGTAGAATGAGTTTTCGATGAGGAGAGAAATTGTAGTCGTGATGGGTGGTTTTAAGCTACATGATTGAAAATAACTTATACGTATTACGCATGCCAAGCTCATCATTGCTTTGCTTAGCTGACATTATAATACGTTTGGTAAAGTATTTAGGAGGGTACAGCGAAGCTAAGATGTCTTTGAGTCGTGTAGAGATGTGAAAACTGATATGCTTATATGGGCCCACGAGATGCTAACATCCAGTGTGTTAAGATCTTTCTCATTGTTGTAGATATGTATCCTATGATTCATGAAATACTCATTATTCTATGCGTAAATATTATTTTTCCTGTACACTTTCATTTATTTTGTTGCGTCTTTAATTAAATGTCCTTTATGATATGTGTATGTGTGTGTGTGTGTGTGATAAGTTGAACTGTTGCTCTTCAATGCTCGGTTAGAGTTCTATTCATTTTTTCCTAGTTTGACCACGGATTGACGTCAGTTAAAGAACCATTGAAAGTCAGGAAGTACTGGACAGCTAGATGTTTCGTCTCAGTTTGTGACTCATTGACTGTATGCACTTAATGGAGTCCTAACCCATGACTTTCCATAGGAAAACCTGCACTGAAGTATTGGACAGATGTTTCGTCCTAGTTTGGGACACTTCAAAGTACGCACCCACCACAAATGTTCGAACCCAGGACCTTCTGGTTACAAGGTGAGCTCGTAGACCATTAAGCCACTGAGACCTGATCCAATGGTCCTTGAATTCTAGCTTCTGCCAATTGATGACATAGCGCGACCGCTAGCCAATGTCTTCGGCGAGTATTTGTCCTCACACCCGACCCACTGCACCGTACTGGTCACGACTTCACACTGGACCCAGGTAACTACCTACCTGAAGCAGGGTAGCGGGTCGGGTGTGAAGACAAATACTCACCGAAGACATTGGCTAGCGGTCGCGCTATGTCGTGAATTGGCAGAAGCTAGAATTCAAGGACCATTGGATCAGGTCTCAGTGGCTTAATGGTATACGAGCTCGCCTTGTAACCAGAAGGTCCTGGGTTCGAACACTTGTGGTGGGTGCGTACTTTGAAGTGTCCCAAACTAGGAGGAAACGGTTGTCCAGTACTCCCAGGTTTTCCAATGGTTCTCTAACTAATGTCAGCTCATGATGAAATCCTGAAACCAATCAAATCCCTAAAAACCAACACTTGAATTGTCTTATATATTGTCCTCTTGATAACCATGCTAGATAATGTTCTCAGATGTGTTTTTTAAAGTGTACGTGTGTCTCTTTTTGGTGAGTATAAATAAGATTGTACAGTCGTCTCCGAAGATGATTTCGTCGATAAAGAAAATTTTCAAGAGTTATTTTCTTTTTGTAGGGATTTGATATCGGTTAGAGAACTATTGAAAACCAGCATTGGAGGACTGGATAGTTAGCTGCTTCGTCCTAGTCTGGGACTCGTCGACAGTACATATCCACCGGGTTCGACTTAAGAACCCCCAACCGGTTTCTTTGCTTAACTAACTTTGGTTTTGTTGTTGTGCTTATCTTGATTTCTATTTGTCCTATTTATTTTTCTTGTTTGTTTCTTTTTTTGTCTCCATCGCTGTCGTCGTCTTCTGTCCTCATCGCCATCATCATCATCACTATGTGTAGTCGTATATACCTTTTCAATCCATCAACTCGTAATCGTACTACAATCATCAGTTTACATGTCAACGGTCATTATAAAAATTTTCAAGCAAAACAAATCTATTCAAACCGCTTGGAATCATCAACAAGTGAACAACAATTGACAATACAATTACAGCATACAGTAATAAAATATCCATCTAAACAACATCAACAACAACAACAAGAACAATCTATAAGTTTGTTATATTTAAGTCCAGTGAAATTGTTTCCATTATCATTTTCGTGTATTGAATTAAAGCTGTTATCTGAACCGACAATGTTATTATCATCATCATCATCATCAAGACCTATTGAACCAGTGAAACCACAATTAGTACCAGTTATTGAAAGTGGACGAATGCTGACCAGCATAAAGTTAGTTTCTTTTGTAACACGTGCATATAAATATACATTACTGTTGTTTTTGTTTTTTGGTTGTGTGTGGCGAGGCAAGTAGAGTGGTGGGCAAGTGGTGGTGGTCACTTACACCTGTCTCTAAATTTATTACAATATATATAAGATATGTAGTTATTTGATTCAATTTGGACTTTGCCGTTGACTGATTAGACCATAGTGCTCGGTTTCTGTTGACATGTTTGCTGCTTGTATAGATACACTGATGATATCTGGGGATTTAACCTGAAATAATTTGGTTGGATACGGTCATTAAGAGTGGTGGAATGCAGGAAGTGCATTTCACTCACTGGAGAATCCAGGTACATCCTCTAGGACGAAATTCTCATCCACTGGATTCCAATGCTAGTCACCATCTACTATATATACTTCAATTACTGTCATTCATATTCTTATATCCTTAATTATTTCGTCGAAAGGGGATCGACAACTGCACTGCCAGTGTTCAAACCCAGGACCTTCCGGTTACAAGGCAAGCTCATATACCATTCACCCACTGGGACCCGATTCACTGACCAGCGCATGAGTTCTAACTTCTACCAATTCGTGATTTAACGCGACTGGCACCAACCAATATCATCGGTGGGACATCCATCCTCACGCTTGACTGAATGAACCTCACTGGTCACGACTTTTCACTAGAACTCCAGGAAACTGCGTCCTGTAACAAGTTCTTTTATATTGAACGGAAACTTGGTTCGCACATAACGGAAGGCATTTCCACCAGCCAGCTGCAGACTTTTATCAACAACTGCCCCTTTCTCTGGCTCAATATTGAAGATCAAATGGTCAACTAGAAGGAATTAGCGTCAAGAAACTCTGAGAATGTAGGAATCATTAATTGATTTCTCAATAAATATGTAGAAGAAAGCAGAAACGGACACACTCAGAGAAGACCGTTGGGTGACATCAACGGGAAACAACGACTGGAGCTCCCGATGGAGAAGACTGTGTAAGGAGAAACAGAGGGAGAGAGATGAGAGCCTAGACTCAGTCGTCAGGTCATCTAAAGAGGACTAAAGAGAATAGGAGGAAATGGAGATGTTGGATTGAAGCCCTAAGTTCTTTTACTCGCAACCCAAGTGAATAGTAATCATAATATTTCTCATACACTATGATTTATTTTGTTGGTAACTGACAAAATAACCTATGACCTTTGTTATCAATTAGCACTGTAATAATTGTGCGTAATGTATTGCGTAAATACTTTTCGCAACATTTTACAGATAGACTTCATCTTGATTAACATTTATGATAATCAAGAAGGGAAGCATAAGTGCGTAAGCCTATGCACTGCTGATTGATTGGGACACCCAGTTGTGTTCCCCTCATGTATCAACCAGTAGTGCTTGCTAACCAGCCAGATCAAGGTGATCTTTTCGGCGGACAACCGTTTCGCTCGTCTCTGGCTGAGCTCATCATCGGTGTATACCCAGTTTTAATTCAGCTCAAATAGCCTCGAATTTTCGGCCAGCCATTTGAACGAATTCGTAACACCTTAAATCACAGTCCTCATTTACAATTTACACAGTTCTTGGAGAGGTAAAATTTCGCCTCTTGTTTCCTTTGGTAAATATACAATATGTGGCTATGTACGTTAGTAGTGTATTTATTTTGTATGTGGCATAAACTACTTGACTAATATAAGTAGTTGAGAGCGTTACTGCAATTTTTTCTACTTTCCTGATGATATGAAAACAATATAAGCCGAAAATAGTAATTTTTGGGAATTTTACCTCTAAATTTACAGTTAGGTAAGAACAGTATTAAGGATAGATCAATTTGGTTAATTTAATTAATGTTCAGGCATAGTACGCTGCGTGGTGCAGCGGTAGAATGCTCTGCAATCACTCAGGTGGTTCGGTCCTCTGCCGGCGCACTCCTAAAGCTCGGTATGCTGGTAATAAGACCGGTAAAGAGTGGAGGTTGGTCTGTGAAGCTAACAATCTCAACTCGTAAAAATAAACACCACTGTTACCGAAACGTCAATACTCTACCTTGTTTTTTTCCTTTACGTTCCCCAGCGGAACATAGGGCTTCCAGCTACTGACTGGAAGTTTCTGTAGCAGTGATGATTATTTTTACAGGACGGGGTTGCTAGCCTCATACCCAACCTTTCCTCCTTACCAGCATTATTCCTGGCTCAGCGACGTAAAGAAGTGCGTTTACCAGGGGTCGAATCCCTTACCATCTGCATGGTCGGCGAGCATGCTAACCGCTGTGCCACCGACGCTAAAACTTTACGTTCTAAAGCCCCATATTCCACTGGTGATGTAAAGGAATAAGATAGATCAGGCATATGCGAGTTATTGGGTAACAATCAAGGTAAAATTCATACTAATGTTGATAACAATCTAGGCGGTCAAATATTGATAGGATAATGGTGTTTCCAGTTTTTTTAAAAATACAACAACTGTTAAAGAAGGTAAAGGTAAGGAAGACAGATCTTCGAGTGTAAATATAGAAGACAGAGGTGATCAAAACAGCCAACTCTAGCAACAACAAAAACTACAACAAACGTGACGACAGAAGACAAGGGCCAGACAGCAGATCCTTTATTGAGGAAATCAGTAGATATTTATGTATTTTCATGTTAACAGACAAGCAGCGTCTTCTGATTGGTTGTTTTCTCGCTGAAAGTTATTCTGTCATCTCTTTGTGGCCGTTTCTTTGAAAGTCAGATCATCAATCTGTGAATTGCATCCGCCCACGCAAAATCTGCTGTGATTGGTTGTTGAGTTAGTCTTTGTTTTTGTTTTTTTTCTCATGACCAATATTGGGACGTTAATTGCTGTCTACCAATTTCGGCTAGCAGACAGCTCTCACCACACAAGAACCAATCACTATCCTTGGGAAAGATTTAAACGAAGTCACTCTTTTTGAGTTACCTGAGAAACACTATTTGAACTACAGATAGCACAGATGAGAGGTTGCCAACCAAGATATGAAATCAGTGTGGTAATCTACGATGCAATCAGCACAACGAACACATGTTCTGAATTTTCAAATACTAATGTCTGCTCAATCAGTGCTTCTATATGGTCTAGAGACTCACTGTATCACGCAAAACTTTCAGAACAGACCACCGTAGACTCTGAAACACCACCTGCTTTAGCCGCATACTGATGGTCATATGGTCGACTGGAAAGTATACATAACATAGAACTCTGGGAGCCACTAATCTAGTAGACAAGAACTTAATTGCTTAATAAGTATACAAAAGGGAACGAAGATGGACTGGAAATGGTCTGAAGGGACCTTCAGATGACATTGTTCATCAAATCCTTGAGTGGAACCTAATTGGAAAACATTAGATTTGGTATCCGAGGATGCCATTGAGAAGATCATGTTGGGAGGAATTGAAATCCGCACTACTTGGAAATGATTTTTTATGGGGAGGGATCGGTATATATATATATATATATATATATATATATATATATATATATAGTTTTATAGGCTATGTTCCACACGAAACTAAAGTATTGAATAATCATAATAATGATAGTAAAGAGAAGGATGAAATACGAAATTATATCACAGTATGATAATGACGGCGATAACAGTAAAAATAAGATAATAATTAGAAGTAAAAGCATACTATGGTATAAAGGTATCCGTCACTACCGGGAAAAGAAACTGTACCTAATACACACTGCTCATTAGCTTTCTTTAATTCAGACTATTGCTAATCTCAAAATAATGTACAATTCGTTGGCTTGTGTATTTTCTCATCCTTTTTATTTTTAAACATTACAGTTCTCAGCCTCTGAGCATAGAAAATACCTACATTCAATTGGAATTCGATCCTAAAACTGGCTACCTTCAAGTAAGTCTTAATAATAATAATTATTATTATTATTAATAATTTGCTTTATTCCAAAACAGTACCTGTGATACAAAATGGAATTCTCAGCACTTTACTACACTATTGTTTCCAGTTAGTACATTAAGAATAAATAAAATTCTACATAGATTAAGGGTAATCTCGGTTAGTTTTGACAACAACATATTAGAACAAGGCAAGAACTACAGTTTTAGCAGAATAAAATGGTACCATCTTTTATTTCGTTGCCTTCTCGTCAGCTGTTTACATGGCAAAGACATTATTACTATTTGGTGCAATGAAAAATCGATAGATATCCTTCTCATGTTAACTCCAACTGTATATACAAATTTACATGTGTCTGCGGGAGCAGTTACATTGGAAGGACAGAAAGAAGGACATATCTACGATGTGCTGAATATGTGTCAAAGAGCTTACGTCTGAAGGGAACAAATGCTTTAAACAGTGCCATCGCCAGGCATCTCCCCGACACGGGTCATGAGGTGGAAGTCGAAAAGTCGTTCAAAATTATCGAAAGGCAAAAGAGCTCAATTCCCCTGAAGTTTGCTGAAGCCATTTCCATCAAGCGCCTGAGACCTGATTTATGCATCCAGAAAGAAGCGGTTATCAGTCTTTCTTTGCCCTGGCAACTGGATATTTTCATCTCTCTTTCATCTCAATGGGAAATGCTAAAAGTTTCCATTGTGCATGATTATTATTGTTCGGAAAAGTGCTTAATATTGCGTGTATATATATATATACTTTATGCATTCTTCATAGCATACATCTCTTTAGGGGGTTGTTGATCGTTAGCTCAGCTTGACACTGGTTCGGAATTTTTTTCAACCTGGGTATACATTTTGCTCAAGGTCATTTGCTCGATTAGTGTCATTTCGGATGAGTATCAGTAGTCAGAAATGTTAAATTGTGTTGTTGTAATATAAGTGATGATGCATGAATTATCTATCTAAGTGTAGAACTTGTTCACTTTGGCAGAATGTAATTCCATATTAGGTAAGTTTATTTTAAATATCACACACAGTGATGAAGTATTAACAACTGGATGAAGTTTCGAGCACAAATTACTGCTCATAATCACATCAGTTCTAGTCACACGGTGTCACAGTTTGTCTTCTATATAATTTTCTCTCTGTTCTGTCATTCCAACTTCCTTTAGTTATTTCTTGTCACTATCCATATCTCTGGCATAGGCGCTGCGTCATTTCGCTTGCACGTGTGCAGTGTTGATTCGATAAACAAAGCTTCAGTGATTAACTTCTCTCTCCACCTAATTGTATTACTCTTTTTATTATTCTCACCCTATCCCACCCACTCTATTTTGTGATTACATGCCAGTGAATACAATGTAATGGCTGAGCTTTTTTCTAGGTTATTTAACTTAGCAGGGTCACCCACCGGGATTCGAACCTAGGACCTTCTGGTTATAAGGCGAGCTCGTAGACCATTGAGCCACTGGGACTCGATTCAATGGTCCTTGAATTCTAACTTCTGCCAATTCACGAGGTGCGTACCGCTGAAGAGTCCCAGACTAGGATGAAGCAGCTTTCCAGTACTCCCAGGTTTTCCAATGATTCTCTAACTGATGTCAGCTCATCATGAAATCCTCCATGCACTCAAACAAAATCCCTACAAAACCAATACTTGAAAGTTAATCTAATGCTCACTAGTGACTGGCCCTATTCAGGCAGTTAACCTGGGGTTCTAGTGGGAAGCCGTGACCAGTAAGGTGCACTAGATTGAAGATGAGGCAGTATCTCTTCGAAGAAGACATTGCGAAATGGTCGCGCTATGTCGTGAATTGGTAGAAGTTAGAATTCAAGGACCATTGGATCGGGTCTCAGTGGCTCAATGGTCTATGAGCTGGCTAGCCTTGTAACCAGAAGGTCCTGGGTTCGAACACTTGTGGTGGGTGAGTACTTTGAAGTGTACCAAACTAGGACGAAACATCTGTCCAATACTCCAGTGCAGGTTTTCCAATGGTTCTCTAACTGATATCACCTCATGATGAAATCCCCTACGCAATTAACATGTCTCTCACCCTATCCCACCCTATTTTCTGATCACATGCAAGTGAATGCAGTGTAATGACTGGGCTTTTTCCTAGGTTATTCAACTTAGCAAGGTCAATCATTCTAGCTCTAGCTAATTTTCCAATATTCAAGTATTGGTTTGTAGGGAGGGATTTGATTGATTGGTTACAGGATTTTATCATGAGGTGACATCAGTTAGGAGAACCATTGAAAAATTCATAGGCAGTACGGCCAGACAGCTTTTTCGTCCTAGTTCGGGACTCTTCATACTACACACCCACCACAGGAGTTCGAACCCAAGACCTTCTGGTTACAAGCCTAGCGAACTCGTGGACTGTCGAGTCACTGGGGTGCGATCCAGTGGACAGCCTATGAATTCCAACTTCTGCCAATTTCACGACATAACGTGATCACTAGCCAATGTCATCCCCGGTGAGTATTTGTCCTCACACTTGACCTGTTGAGGAATTCACACTCGAACCCCACTGTAACTACCCACATGAATAGGACCAGTAGTCGCTAGTGAGCTTCTCATTGGTTTTCAAGTATTGGTTTGTAGGGATTCGACTGATTGATTGATTCCAATGGTTCTCTAACCGACGTCAGCTAATGATGAAATCCTGTAACCAAAAAAAAGGAAGAGTTAGAAAGATTTTTGTTGATGAGGTCGAAACAACAGGGTCATCACCATGATAGCAAAAGAAATTCTTTGAAGAATTCTCTTTTATACAACAAACCTTTTTGATTTCTCTGTCTGGATGTCTAGAACTTCAACAACTTCAAAAGTGATGAGTGTCTTCGATAGGTCTCTTTTTCTATTCTGTCAACTAGCGTGAATGAGAATTTTGTTTTGAAATTGGTTAGCTGATCAGTGATGATGAGATGTTCAACTGTTCCTCTTCTTATGGATCCATTGTTAATCTACCAAAAATCAAACTTATATGAAAAATGTAGAAATATATAGCTGATGAACCACTATAATAAGCAGAAATTTACTGGAAAACAAATAATAACATGGAGGGAAAAACATGTGAATGAATGCATTTCAAGCCAAGGGTTCATAGCCATTCTTAGGATCCCAATCAGACAGCCTATACTTCCCAACGTGTCACTCAAACCAACAGTCAAAGACTTCGTGAACCAATTACAAATACTATAATCTGAATATCAATTGCCAGTTCATTGTGATGTTTACTAGACGGATTTCCTGAAGCTGCATAGGGGAAATCGTAAACGTTAAGGTCTACTACATCAAGGTGAAGTGGATTTTCATTAAAAGCATTGATGTGAGCAGCGCTGTATCACGAGTTTACAAAGTTAGCATTCAGAGGTCTGTGACTGGTCAACAAGCTTTCTGGTCTTGAAACCTGAAAGTTCGACCCCGGGTGAAGTCATATGCGCGTACCGATGGAGAGTCCTGAAACGGGATGAAACAGATATCCCTGTCGGTTTTCAATAATCTCTCTGGAACTGATGTTGGTTTGTGATGAAAATCTAACGATTGTAGTGAATCCGAAATCCTCACAAATCGTATAATCCGAACTTCATGAAGTGATGTGTCAGATTTTGCTTGGACCAGCTGTCTAACTCTTTCCCAACTTAATCTTACGTCAGCTCGCACTGCCCATTGTAGAGTTATTACCCCGTCACAACACAGTACTTGTGTATGGCTCATAGCCTTGTGTATGAAGCGTACATTTCTTGGAACTGAGTCCTAATAACAACATGTTTATTAAATACACCTAATTTTTCCAAAACATTAGATTTCACAGTGCAGTGATGTTTATATTTTTCCCCATGAGTGGTTTGACCTCTAAGCCCTATTGGCTGTTAACTGTTTTTACCTTACCATCAAATGAAGGCCACTTATATCAAAGTCATATGGAACCGCTGTCAATTTTTTTTCTCACTGTTGGTCTGAGAAAATAAAAACTTTCTGCTCAACGCTGTGTCTTCCTCCTTTATTCCTTCTGTTGCTCGTCAGTGGTGGTATCGGATTGTGGTGTTGGTGGTCTTTGTCGTTGTGAGTAGTGATTAAAACACTAGGCTAGTAATTGTCTATTAGTTAGGAAGTTTGTTAATGCCAAAGACTCGTAAGCTGTCGGGTTGTATTGACGATCATATCACATGTATTGAGATAAATCAATATTATCGTTGTCGTCTTTGATCTCTTCTTCTACTTACCACTATTTCTTTCTTTCTTTCTTCTTCGTCTTCTCATTCTATCCTCATAGAAAATGTTCAACAAGTTAACTCAACAGTCAATGGATATTAAAATCAATTTTGTACAATATAAAACACCGAGTAATTCTGAGTCGAACAGTGGACCATATTTATTTATTTCTGATGGTATTGCAAATGTAAGTCGGCTTTTTTTGTGTTGTTTTTTCTCAGTAGACTGTATGTATTTGTGTGTGTGTGTGTGTGTGTGTGTGAAATGTGATTGAAGTCATGTTGGCTGGCTATACGATCAAGTTTCGTTGTCATCAGACAACTAAACTAAGAAATTCAGCATTAATTTAGATTTTGATTGTGTTCTCTGAAGTGATGGATCGTGTCATTGTTCATCTTGACAACCTGTTCAGCGTTAATTTTATTGTCAAGTAGTAAGCTTTGAGAATTATTCATGTATGAAATATTTCTCTCCTCTGGTGACGCTCACTCACTGTAATTGGTTGTTTCCGTAGATTTCTTTATAATTATGTGCTTATTGGTCCTTTTATTCGTGCTGATGTTTGGCCTTTCACTTCTGACTGACTGACTAACTGACTGGTTCCAGCACAGGAATTTGCACAGATGTGCACCAGTTCGAGGTGCCACGCTCCATGTGTAACGACAGAAGACAAGGGTCAGGTAACAGATTGTCTATTGAGGAGATCAACAGATATTTATATATTTTTATGTACATCGCATTCGTTATTATTAGCAAGGAAACAGCGTCTTCTGATCGGTCGTTTCTCAATGGAAGTTATTCTGTCATCTCTTTGTGGCCGTTTCTTTGAAGGTCAGACCATATATCTGCTCACGCAAAGTCTTTGTTCTTGTTTTTCCCATGACCAAGATTTGCGAAGTAAATACTGGCGTAAATTGCTGTCTACCAATTTTGGCTAGCAGACAGCTCTCACCACACATGCAGCACACAAAGCAAGAGAAGAGGGTAAAGGGAGGTTGGAAAGACAGATAATAAAAACAAGTGTGAGTAAGGAAAAAAGAATAGTAAAACCGAAAAATAACGGAGTATTATTGGATATGATAAGTCACAAAGAGTGAATGCATCTTCACCAGCTATTGAAAACGATTTTTAGCCAACCATATCACCAATTGTCTCCAGCCTTCATTGGTTTTCACCATCCCGAGGACCCTAACCAGTCAGTCAGTCAGAAAGTCTACACCTCCCTACATGGCTGGGTTAAACTAACTGTTGTGGGTTTCATTGATTGATGGAGCTATGTTTTGGTTTGACCACTACTAGCTTTCTCTTTTCCAACCTGATCCATCCCGTGTCGGTTGGCTAACATTGACCATTGACAGAGGAAGGCGATGGATAGGCATATCCTAACCATCCGAATCCATGTAAATTCACAAACACGTCGATTGATTTCCCCTCGTTACCTATCACTTGAAAGACGTCTAACTTCAATATTACTCACCTTATTATGCCACCTAACATGGGAGATAGAATGCAGACACCTATGATCAAAGACAACTAGCCACGCTTCTCATGTCTTTCATTTTCAACGACTGTCTCACAACCATAAAAGTGGATGGAGTGAACTGCTGAGCAGTATACACGTCCTTTGATAGATAGCCAGATGGATATCGCGTCTACTAAACCAGAGACGGCGTAAATTGGCATATGCCAATCTTTCAATTCACATTAAAGCTAGCGCTGAAGGCGTTTTCCAGACATACAATAAAATTTTCGCATGAGTATGAATCAAGTTTCTCACTCATATAGAAGAAGTGACTGACTTGACATTGGTGTTGTAAATTCGAATCGTGTTCTTTATGTTGTGGATTGCAATAGCTTTCCAAACTGAAATCAGAGTGATGAAGGATTGTCTTAACCTCCGATTCTAGCTTAATTTGACATCCTCATCCGTTCCACCGTCTGTGGTTGAAACGATGATTGCCTGGATGGGTGAAGAAAGTGACCTCTTCCAAATTTATTCTGTTGATAGTGATTGGTGTTAGCTGTTGTTGTTGTCGGTTGGTTGGTTAGTTGATTATCTTCATCACCATTTGAAGCTCTGTCTTTGCTGCTTCTTTTGCCAACTTGTTGGTTTTCTCCTGATAATAGGTACACGTATATATTTCAACCGTGGACCTAATGGCTTAAATTTATTGTTATTATTTCTCCCTTGGATTCCTAGTGGAACATAGGGCTTCAACTGCACGTCTCTTCTTGCTTCTGTCTTCTACTGTACTTTTCACCTGCATCCATGTTAGCGTTTTTCATCCATCAGTTAATTGGTGAGATAATGAGGTTATCTAAGCATTGTCTTGTATCTTGTTGGCAGATATGAATCCCTAGACTTGTGTGTGCGTGTATTGACTAATTTGTTTGTTTTCCCTCTCATATATTTGTCTATATTTTTGCGTTTTAGCCTATGCCACAACCAAAAGCATACAGTTATATCAAGGGAGATCTAGTTGACACGGTTATCGTCTATACAAAATTTGTTGAACACATTGTCCGTCTGTATAAGTCACGTAAGTTGTGTTTTATTATATTGTATTGTGTTGTGTTGGTTTCCTCTGTCTGTCTAATCTTTTTTAAAAGCTACTTTTCTCTGCCTATACATCATTTTGTCTGTTTCTTTACTATTAAAAAAACAGTAGTCCACTATTATTATTATTATTATCAACCAGAGTTTGTGTCAACTTTCTTTCTTCTTCATCAAGTGTGTCTTCAGTGCATATTCGTTGGATTATGCTGAAGAGACAGCTTACTAAGGCTGTTTTGTACCGAACAGGGCAGAAAATGTAGTAATTAAAATACTGTCCTCTCCAGACAAGTTTTCTATAAATAGATCTTTTTATTGACTCATCAAGTCGTCGACTAAGCAATATGTCTAGGAAAGATATTATATATAGGCAGCTAGCTTATTACCTACTAATCTGCACTCACGTAAAAATCACTCTTTTGGATGAGTATCTCTCGGACCACTGGTTGATAATTGAGCATCTCTCTCATTGAAAAATTAATGTTGATCTCTCATCGATCAGTTGCCTAGTTTATCATCAGTCAAATAGCACAAAAATGTGTCCTAAATTCTTAATTAATTGTGATATATGATTGGAAAATCCTGGGTTCGACTCCCAGTGAGTCCGAAAATAAGACAAAATAACTGTCCAGTACTCCCTGGTAGCTTCTAATGGTTCTCGAACTGTTACAGATCCGTGGTGAAACTTGAAACAGAGTTTTCAATTAGTCTATTTATTGTATCCTCCCAGTCCTATTGTGTGATTGAATATTAACTAATTTATTCATTTTATTATTCATATTTTTCAGCTGATATACAATCACAATTCACTGAAATTGAAAATATTGTCAATATAAAAGTGGATACACCTACAGATATTGATTTATTTATGACAATAGAAACTAACTTAGTGAATGAAAATCGTGTCTTCTATACAGATTCTAATTGCTTCCAAGTAAATTTCAATTGCTTATTGATTTTTTGGGGTTTGTGTGTGTGCGTATGTATTTTATTATTCCTTATCCTCTATGAGGCGTTTGGAGTAAACACACAAGAGTCAGACAAGGGGTGCTTATTATCACCAATGATATTCCTAATTGTGGTGGACTGACTGGATTATGCGTCAGACAGTTGGAAACGAGAAGACAGGGATATCCAGGACCGACGTGAAGAACCTAGAAGACCTGGATTTCGCGCGTGGATGATTTATGTTTAATGTCACTGTCACAAAATCGAAGACTTACAAGCGAAAACTGACAAACTGGTCGAAGAAGCAGCCGGTAAAGACAGGACTCCATGTGAACATAGACATGACGGAGGTTATGAAAACAACCAACCAACAAAAACAACAACAGCAGATACATCCAGCGCCAATCACCATCAACGGGAGGGATTTGAAAGAGGTTACTTCATTCACTTATCTAGGAAGCATTGTCTCAACTACAACCAGTCGGGTCGGACGAGGATGTCAAATCGAGCGAGAATCGGGAAGGCGAGAAACACATTCATCAACCTGAAACTAATCTGGAAATCTTCGTCACTCATCATCAACAACAAAATCCGGTCGGATTTTCAATAAAAACGTAAAGTCAGTCAGCTCTTCTATACGGATTAGAAACTTGGCGGGCAGGTCACAAAGAATATTTTCAACAGCCTGTTGCATACCTTCATCAACCAACAACTGTCTTCGCTCTATACTGAAGATCAGAAGACCGGGGGCCGGAAAGAATCACCAACAAGAAACTATGGAAACAAACAAACAAAACAAGAACCAATCGCCAACCAATTAATATGCAGGAGAAAGTGGAGATGGGTGGATTGGACACTCGCTGAGGAGGCCACTGGGTGACATCGCGCCAGCGTCAGGCCATTTCTCTAGTGGAACCAGGCCGAAAGGCGAGCGGGTCGTCGATACGAGGGTGACATGGAGGAGATCGTGTGAAGAGTTGAGGAGTTGAAACAGTATGGACTTACATGAATGCAGGTGAAAAGCACAGCAGAAGGAAGACAGAAACAAGTGGAGACGTGCAGTTGAAGCCCTGTGTTCCGCTAGGAACCCAAAGGCACAATAATAATAATAATAATCTATGGTTGATTTTTCATGTAATAGAGGAAAAAAGTGACAGTGAGAAAGAGATTAAGGATGCGGGTAAGAATTAATCCTCATGTTCAGTTTTCTTCTATCGTGATATTTTGGTGTAGTTGTACACACTTTTCTATGAACAAGTAGATGGTTGAATGGTGAAGCTTTCATTACCTGACTAGACAACATCTTCAGCACTATTTGTATATAGACGTTTTTTATTTCAAATGATACACTTCTGCTTCTGATGCATTTGATTGGTCGCTAGAGATCTTTACTGAGTAGTTACATTTTAGGTTGCTAATAGGTTACGGTCACCATTTTTATTGATCTGAAAATTGAGCTTTTACTCATATGACTGCCTTTTTTTATAAACCTCTTGTGCAATAGGTCATATTAATTATCAAATTCAGTTTTAGATTTTCTCGTTGATTGATTGAATTGAAGTGCTCAGTCTTCTAGGTTGATGTGTCGGCTTCTTGTGCGCATGCTTCGACGATGTCTGGGCATGTAATCAAAATTTAATTGGTGGATGGTGACTAACAGTGTGCAATCAACCTGAAACCACGCACTTAGGTCCAATCAATCGACGGGAAAATCTAAAATTCAATTAAATAATATTTAGAACAACACACTTAAGCGAACAATTGGAACTCAAGTTTACAAATAAAAATTCAAATATAAACCAATCATGGTGTTTTGTCTACAGGATAATACGATGGTGAATATAAATTGTGCAATTAGTCATAATAGTAGTAATGGTAATAAATATAAAAAAAATTGTTAAATGTCTTGCGAGCAGAACATGAAAGATATGTATGGATGACCTCTTACAAAAGGAATTTGAATATATTCACGATTCCTTGACGGAGATCGGCTATCCGAGTAGTTTCATAAAGAAACATATGAAAACATTAGAGAGAAAACCTGAGACTCTGACTGCACAAAAGAAACCTCTATTTATTAAGTTACAATTTAATGGTGACTAATCAAGTGAGATTTTATTCCAAAGACTTTCAAGGAGTATACGAAGAACATTTTACGCAGAACACCTATGTTTGTCACTCTCTAGCTGACGAGTGATTGTGACACAAACGAAGGATAAGCTAGATAGTTTTGCCACATCTATGTGCATTTAATAATTCAACTGCACCTGCGGTGACAGTTATGTTGGGCTAACTACTAGACAGCTTAGCCAACGTGTTAGTGAACATCTCCCATCGTGGTTTGGCAAAGGACAGGCTAAAATAATCCGCAGCTCAATTCTGTCATATTTAATCGATATTGGTCATGTAGTGGAGAAAACGAGAGCCTCCAAAGTAATTCATCGTATCACACCGAATCTTTCCAATAAACTTCGTATTCAGTCTGCACCAATGAGAAGACTAGACACATCACACTAGTTACTAGTGTCAAATCAAAGTATCCACTACAGTCCTACAGGAGGTCAATCGGGAGCCCGAACAGCTCAGTGGTAATGTCTCTGACTGCAGCACTGGGTGACGCGGGTTCGAATCTCTTCAGAAGGGAAATGAGTTCCTTCAAGGTCACAGATACGCCTTGCTGACTGATTGGTGGTGAGTGCCAACTACCACGATACCTAGGTGGTCCAAGGCTTCCTGCGGCCGATTGCCTCCAACCATCTAATACCATCAAATCAATGTGCACCGTGATGGCGAGCTCGCTAGAATGGTGGTCACATTACAACCTGACTGATAGAATTCAGTCTACACCAATCAGAGGACTAGACGCATCACACTAGTTACTAGTATCAAATCAAAATGTGTACACTATTGCCAGGGGAGAAGCAGTCTCTTCTGATTGGTTATTTTTATGCTGAAGGTTATTCTGTTATCTCTTTGTGGCCATTCCTCAGAAAATCAAGTCATATATGTATGAATCGTATTTTCACACTCTAACTCTACTGTTCCTCAAGGTTAAGCTTTGTTATTGTTTTTCTCATGACCCTGATCTGGGACGTGAACATCGACTTTAATTGTTGCCTACAGTTTTGGCTTGCAGACAGCTCTCACCACAGTAGTTGTTTCATGTGTGTGTGTGTGTGTGTGTGTGAATGATAGAATGCTCATCATTCTACGCACACAGAAAGTCCAGGGTTCATCTTCCCCACGCCAAAGCATTCTGAACTTCCTACTTGATGAGGTATTAGGTTAATAAATCTCAACCACTCCTCCCCAGCTGTAGTCAGTAAATCTTTAAAGCTTATAATGTTCCATTTGGAAGAAGGTAAGTTAATCTATGCCTCCGCTATTGATGATTTTTGCAGAAGTCTTCACTTTTTACTTCCTATTACTTACAAATTCTTATCAGTAGGATATAAAGCACCGTTGATTAACATGTGAGTCTTGTTTTTCTCCCTTTCATTCCTACCATTTTTTTTTAAAAAAAAAACATAGTTTATTGAACGAAAGTATTATGATAAAATTCCATTACAAGGCAATATCTATCCGATAGCTTGTGGTGCGTATATTGAACAGCAAGAACAAACATCACTGATAAAGAAACGTCTGAATATATTTACTAGTCATTCAACTGGTATAGTTAGTCCAAAAATAGGTCAATTAAATGTATGGCTTGATCGTCGATCAAGTAGAGATGATGCACGTGGTATTGCATCAAATCTACACGGAGATTGGATTGTTCAATCAAAATTATATTTATTTACAGAAGAAATTATCACTTCATTAGACAATGAAGCATCGAAACAGGTAGGCATGATTATTTAACGTATATCTTTATGTGTATGATTTTAGTCGGTTTGTGTGTGTGTGTGGCGTTCACATTTAGACAACACTTATGACCTTCTCGAATTGGACTTTCGTGTTCAGTTCATTCACTTTTGACGTTGCATCATAAAACTTAGGTTCAAGTGCTAAAATTTGTACGTCGGTGGTGGCACAGCGGTTAGCACGCTCGCCGACCATACACAGACTGTCAAAACAAAGCAGACGTCATGTAATGACTACATATCACATTCACAAAGCCTCGATTATGCAGAGCTTCCTTCTGAATGTCTTCGACCACAAAACAAATAAAACATCGTTTGTACCTAGTATTCCTTTAATTTGCCCACAGCCACGCTCAACCTTCCGAGCATCCAACACCTCCCTGAATGGGATATAGATACAGGTCCTCCGTCACTAACTGAGGTTACTAAAGCTGTCACCAATCTGAAACTAGGCAAAGCAGCGGGACCTGATGGAATGACGCCAGAGGTATTTAAGTACGGTGGAGACAGCTTACTGTCCGGATTAACTGAGGTACTAGGCAGCGTTTGGGAATCAGAAGAAGTCCCATCGGGTTGGTGTAAGTCACTGATTATCCCCATATACAAGAAGGGAGACAAGTCTTCCTGTGATAATCACAGAGGGATTAGCTTGACTAATATAGTATCTAAAGTCTTAGGCTCAATAATCATGCGTAGACTGAGTGGTGCTCGGGAAGCACAAACACGAGAGAGCCAGGCAGGCTTTAGACCAGGAAGAGGGTGTATTGATCATATCTTCACCCTCCGACAGATTCTAGAACATAGGCATTCCTACCGGCGTCCAACAGTCATTATATTTCTTGACCTAAAGGCAGCATTCGACTCTGTCGATCGGGAAGTTCTCTGGAGATGCTTGGCTGTAAAGGGAATTCCAAGAAAATATATTGCACTGATTAAGGCACTCTATTCGTACTCATACAGCCAGGTGAGGGCTTACGGCGAGCTGTCATCTGAACTGATGACGACCAGTGGTGTCCGTCAAGGATGCCCATTATCTCCTTTTCTATTCAACTTCATCATAGATGTGTTAATGGACTTAACCCTAGGTGACTTCAGCGATTCAGGGATTGACTTGCTACCAGGGAATAATCTCGTTGACTTGGAATATGCAGACGATATAGTCCTTCTAGGCGAAGACGCTGACAAAATGCAGAGTCTTCTAAACACCTTGAACAGCAATCTACGAATGTTTGGCATGCGATTCGCTCCCGCCAAATGCAAGATGATGTTACAGGACTGGACTACATCGACGCCTAGTTTAAAAATAGGAAGTGAAGTGGTAGAGCACGTTGACCGCTTCACTTATTTGGGAAGTACCATCAGCCCCAACGGGCTGATCTCTGACGAAATCTCAGCACGAATACAAGGGGCTCGTTTCGCATTTGTTAGTTTACGCCGACTCTGGCGTAGACGAGATGTTCGACTATCGACCAAAGGGCGGGTGTACTGCTCATCAGTCCGCTCCGTCCTCCTTTATGGTTGTGAGACCTGGCCACTGAGAGTGGAAGACATGAAAAGACTAGCTGCCTTTGATCATAGGTGCCTGCGTTCTATTTCCCGTGTAAAGTGGCATAATAAGGTGAGCAACATGGAGGTTAGGCGTAGAGTTCTAGGTAAACAGGGGAAATCAATCGACGAAGTCGTGAAGCTACATCGACTGAGATGGTTAGGACATGTGTTACGTATGCCAAGTCATCGCCTCCCTCGACGAGCTATGTTAGCGGATATAGGGTCAGGCTGGAAAAAAGCTAGCGGCGGTCAAACAAAAACTTGGCATCAGTCAATGAAATCCACAACAGTTGGTCTTAGCCACGTAGGAAGGTGTAGACTTCCAGGCTGGGGTCCTCGGGACGGTAAAAATCTATGGTTGGAAACAATTGGTGACATGGCTCAAAATCGTTCTCAGTGGCGCAGATGCATCCACTCCCTGTGACTTATGATCTTCAATGAAATTGTTTTGTATTTCTTTATTACTCCTTTGTCTCACACCTCTGCTCACTGTTTCTATTATGCTTTTCTTGTACTTTCTTCTCTTGCTTCGCGTGCTACACGGAATGTGGCGACTTGAACTTCCGCACATTTGTGCAAAGTTCTATGTCGAAAACAGACAGACAATTGGGTATATAGATTATATGAAACTAATATAACAAGCGGTTTTTCTTTAGTATTGTTGAGTTTTTAAAATAACTTTCGTTATTAACTGTTCTGAAAATCGGTCTCATTCACATTTTGTAACTCTATAACCAGTACCTAAGAGGTATCATACATCTAGAGGAAGCTAAATCTCTCACATTCTCGATCTCATATACCATTGAGCCACTGGGACCGAGTTTCCTGAAGTTCCAGTGAAAAGTCGTGACCATTGAGGTCCAACTATTCAAGTATGAGGATGGATTTCCCACTGATGACATTGGTTGGTGCCAGTCACGCTAAATCACTAATTGGTAGAAGTTAGAATTCATGGGTCCCAGTGGCTGAATGGTACACGTGCTTGCCTTGTAACCGGAAGGTTCTGGGTTCGAACCCCCTATGGTGGGTGCGTACTGCCGATGATTCCCAGACTAAGATGAGACAGCTGTCCAGTACTCCAGTGCTGGTTTTCAATGGTTCTCTAGCTGATATCAATCCATGGTTAAACTTGTAAAAATAAGGATATTTTGCAAATATATATAAATTTTTTATGAAATTACATGCATAATTATGTCTTTCTGTTTTTACTCACCCACCCACCCTCATTGTCACTCTCTTTTTTAGACAACTATACCAGGTTTAACGTTATTCGCTCAACAAATATTGAATTATATAAGTCAACCAGTGCATAAATTTCTGGTCAATGATCATAATTTAAACAAATTACTCAGACAGGAGTATAACTTAATACCAATATCTGGTTTACAATGTGATTATGAATTAGTGACAATGAAGACATTCCATAATAGCAAAATACCAAAAAGTAAGGCATAATTAATTTAATTTTTTCAGAGATAATTTAAAACATTCCTCTTATCAAAAAGTCAGTTTTTATGGCTTCGATTAAAGATTATTCGATCTTGTGGAGTGATGTCATTTAGCGGGACACTGAACGCTTCAGTAGTTCTCAGCCATGACAGAAAAAGTTGCTTGGCGAGACCATTGGCCATTTAACTCTTTGTGTTGGAATCTAATCACCCACTAAATTACCCATCGCGACGTTAGCCTGGCTGTCAAAGATCGGGTATACAATGCTTCAATGTGGGCTGTTTTGCTCTACGCCTGTGAAACCTGGCCTCCTCGAGGTGAGGATGTGCGGCGGCTCTACGTGTTCGATCATCGCTGTCTCCGCTGGATTGCTTGCGTTCGATGGGTGGCACCATCGCGTGAGTAATTCTGAGGTTCGGCGGCGTGTGTTTGAACACAGTGGAGATCACCATTCACTGAGTGTCGTCATCTGGAAACACCGGCTCCGGTGGCTTGGACATGTGCTGCGAAGGTCATCTCAGAGGCTTCCGTACAGGTGGTCTCTGTTCGCTATCCCTAGGACGGGATGGAAAAGGCGGAGAGGTGGTCAGTCCGTGACGTGGCGTCGTGGAATGGAGGATTTTTGTGCCAGATTAACACTGGTTGGTGTGTCACGACTCCCTGGTTGGGTTCCGCGAGATAACTCGAAACGTTATCGGATATGACCAAGAATCGTAATCAATAGTGAACGTGTTGCAATTTCCTTCTTTCTTCCCTTCTCGATGATAGTTAACGAATACTGTTTGAACTTGTTAAGCATGACTGTTTTCCTTCCAGATGAAGTTCTTTATTCGTTCTCTACTTATATTTTTTTTTACTTTTGATCTATGTTGTTTTATTATTATTTTGTAGCGCATCCTTCTTGGTGCCATATTGTACCAAGTTTTTTCTGCGTTTAAATAAATAAGCATATGCATCAGAATAATGTGTTCGAATACACACTACTTCTCTCATAACCTCCCATGTCATCTGAATAACTTTGAATGATATGCCCTTTCTTGGGATCTTCAGGCTACACGGATAAACTAATTTGGACCGGGATTCAGTGAATCACGCATAAATTCCTAACTGTATCACCATCAACCAATAACATCGACGGGTGTCCAATACACGCACCTACCTAGACATGGTAGAACCCACCCACTAGCAACGACTTCTCAATGTACACAAGTACTTGTGGAAATTCACCTTATAGCTGTCAATATTTCGACTATGAGTTTTGCAGGAATTTGATGAAACCTAAACACAGCACTGATGGATTGCTAATTCTACATACACACACACACACACACAAACCGGGATCATAAAAACTCTAACTGCACAAGCTTTCGAAAACACAAGCACTTTTTTATCACTTGTATATCTGCTGATAACAATGAATAACTTGACAGTGTCAATATCATGTCCCTTGGTCCATAAGATGATGGTTAATTGTTGGACTTTTTAGTACTTTAATTTCAGCCTTTTTTTCAACCACTAGGGGGTGAATGCACTTCATCATGCGAGTAGTAGTAGTAGTAGTTGACAATCAAGATTCTGTACAATCTCTATATACATGCAGCTCCACAAATGCCCTCAAATTGTCATATATATATATGTATACAGTTTGAAATGTCGAGGATCGATGACACTAGAGTATTCAGTTGAAGAATTCTAATGAAATTTCTTGAATTCATTAAATCCTGTTTTATTATCAACACATTGGTTGTTTTCGATAATTGGGGTTGTAGGGATTTTTTGGTTGTTTGGTTGGAGGATTTCGTCATGAGGTGACATCGGTTAGAGAACCATTGGAAAACTGGCACTGGAGTATTGGACAGCCGTTCCATCCCAATTTGGGATTCCTTGTCAGTACACACCCACTGGAGTTCGAACCCAGGACCTTCCGGTTATAAGGCGAGCTAGCTCGTAGACCATTAAGCCACTGGGACCCAATCTATAATGGCCCATGAATTTCAATACTTGAATATTAATGAGATGCTCACTAGCGACTGACCGCATTCAGGTAGGTAGTTAAATGGTGTTCTAGTGGGACGTCATGACCATTGAGGTGCAGCAGCTCGAGTGTGAGGACAAATACTCGCCGAAGACATTGGTTAGCGGTCGCGCTATGTCGTGAATTGGCAGAAGTTAGAATTCATGGGTCACAGTGGCTTAATGTTCTACGAGCCAGCTCACCTTGGAACCAGAGGCTCCTGGATTCGAACCCGATTGGGCGCGTGCTAATGAAGAGTGCCAGACTAGGCTGACGAAACAGCTGTCCAGTACTTCAGTACTGGTTTCCCAGTGGTTCTCTAACCAATGCCAGCTCATGATGAATTCCTGTAACATTTGTTGCTTGTTTTGATGTTTGTTTTTCTCCTCGAGCATATTATCACTATTATTATTATGAAAAGTATTTCTTCTTATTAAATGGTGGTGTTGTGTTTCTTTACCCTACATTTTCTTCAACAGGTTTTCATGCTGCACCAAATACACAAGTTGGTGTTATTATTCGACGTTATCTACCATTTTGTTATGCAACTAAATTACCGTTAATTGATTTTTATACACAATGTTTCGCTTCTCGTGCAGAAAATGCTGTAAGAATTCTGTTCTCTTTTGTCGTTGTTGTTGGTATTTTTACTTATGTGGAATCCAGGATGTACGTCTCACTCGATATGGAACTCATCAACTGGATGGATGGATGTGCCTGCATTCCCACTGGAATTTGAATCCAGCCAGCACCCATCTCTTCGAACATCAAATCAGATGCTTCTAGTTGATGAGTTCCAATTAGGAAGAAAAACGCGCCTTGGATTCTACTGCTAGACGACCTTTCCCGTATTTCAAACCTAATAACATTATGTATTATCTCAGAGGCATTGTCAAAGTGTCTGTTCTAAGAGCTGCCAATGTGAACTTACATAAACCGTGCATTTTTAAAAATAACAATTTTAGGAAACAACATTTCAGAAATTGTGTGCATGCATTTCTCATTCATTGAACCTTAAGAGTATTCTGTTCTATTCTATTCTACAACAGGCCATTTTATGACAATGATGATGTGGAATTTTAAGTTGGAAGGGGAAAATTAAGGCTTGACCCAATTCATACAATTATTTTGTGGCGTCGTTGACTTAGCGGTAGAACGCTCGCCAGCCACGCCTGTGGTCGAAGGTTCAATCCCCAGCCGACATACTCTTCTGCCTCGTTAAGCCGGTATATAGGGAAGGTTGGGGGCATGAAGCTAGTGACTCCACCCTGTGAAAATAAAACACCATCGCTGCCGACACTTGAGGCCCTATACTCCACTGGGAGCGTTAAGGAATCATACAATTGTTTTGATTTAAATTGGGGGAAATTAATAGATTACCTGTTTGGAGAATTAAAGATTGTATATACTGCCGTCGAATCTCTTACGGTAGATTAACTGAATGCTTTATGATAAATTAACATGCTTGTGTTTCTTTCACGTCTCCCATTTATCTCCACAATGCTGTATCATTTACTTTCTCTGACATCAAATCTATCTCCCTGCTATTGGGTGCTTTTATCCCGGTGGGTGTTTTTTCATATACTATTGATATATCTTATAAGTAGCACCCGCCACAGTATTAGTTCAGTTATCAATCAAAAAGAACAGTGACAAAAATGAAAGCATTAAAACGGCTATACATATATTCCTTGACAAGACTATATTCTATGCAGGTGATTTCATCCCATTTTGTTCAAATATTTAAGGCAATTATTTCACGAAAGTTTACACCTCTGAAGTGTTTTTTTATGTGGCGGACATCTTGAAACTAGTTGTCCAGTTGTGTATCATGAACATTAGAGTCTGAAGTGGTTTTAATCCCTGCAGGTTTCTTACAAAATGATGTTTCACACGCAGTTTTATAACCGAAGATAAATTATTCAGTCCCCTCAAACAAACCTTTGCAAGCGACGCTATATACTACAGTAACAACATAAAACAAGAGCCAGACAACAGATCGTTTATTAAGGAAATTCACACATATTTATAGATTATTGTTAGCAGAAAAACACAGTCCTCTGATTGGTTGTTTCTCACAGAAAGTTAACCTTGCATCTCTTTGTGGCTGTTTCTTGAATGTCAGATCATCTATATGTTAACTGTATCCGCCCAAGCAAAGCTTTTCTTCTTATTTTTCTCACGACCAATATTGGGGACATAAACATTGACGTAAATTACTGCCTATCAATTTTGGCTAACAAGCAGCTCTCACCACACTACTAGTTGGCTACCAGTCATATTAACCAGTCAGTAGGGCTTGTTGTCCAGCCAGATCGAAATGATCTGGCCCGACCCACAGGGCGGCAATTTCGTTCACATTTCGGGACAGAGGTCATCAACGGGTGTACTCAATTTAACTCAACTACTCATCACAATCAATCAGTAGTATGTAACGTCATACACCTATGGTTACTCTCTTGATTACTGTCTATAGTATCACAAACCAATCCGGACAATTTCCGTTTCCCAAGGGAACTCTGATGAGATTTCACCTCTCAAACTGTGTAGTTCGTAAGTTGAGAAGGCAATTCAAATCAATGTGTTTAGATGGAGTGGGATTCAAACCCTAATGACTCACCATAATTGAGAGAATAGCCTACCCCCATTTTGCTTACATAACTGAATAGTGTTCATTACTTCCTTCCTCATCACACGATTATTTTTAGTGTTACTCTTACTTACAAGCTTTTTATGTGTGTCTTTCTTTTATTATTTTCAGTTGAATGTAAAAGAGTTCTTCAATACTCTTCAAGTATCTCATGCAATACAAACCAATTTAACTCTGATTCCACCTTCATCATCACCATCACTATCGGTGAATAGTAATGCCTATCGAATGGTAGAACTTAATGAGATTCATGTCAAGCCTATGGAATTAGAAGCTTACTATCTTATTTAAATGATTCCTTTATTGTTTTGTTTTTTCTCCTTCTTCTTCTACTTGTTCATTTTTGCTTTATCGTTGTTCCTCCCCCACATGTTTTAAGATATCCCTATTCAACTTCTTGAATAACAGCATCAGTTTTCCGGGTATATATGCGGTGGGCTATATCTATCGCATATATGTTTACGTACGTAAGTACCTGTCTGAAGTTCATCTCAATGTGTGTGTTTAATGTTCTTGTGTTTTTGCTTTCTTCTTCTGCGGCTTATTCCCTGCCTGTGTATTCATTCATTCATTCACTAACTCGAATGTGTACACATACACCCACAGATGTTTGCACATTTCTCTGTCTCTATGTGTACAAATCAACACAGGTTTTATCATACATACTTTTATCTTGATCTGCTTATTTGCGGTTTTTATTCACACTGTGATAATATATATATATATATAGATGTATAATACTTCTCCTCCTGTCCTTCTTTCAAATAATAATGACTATTCTCAGTCATCATCAAACCACACGAAACAATCTCATGTAAAGAGAAACTAACACACACAGAAACACACACCTTGTTATAATTTCATGCTGTATTCTGGATCATTTTGTTTTTATGCTGACTAATGTACACTGAGTGAGTGAGCGAGTGAGTCGCTGGGTGGATAAGTGAATGACAGATGTTGTATGTTACGTAATAACACTAATAATAAGAAGAATAAAGCATAACTAGTCATTCTATAGACAATTTTTGACTTTTATGTATTAATATACTTGTGTACTTATATATACAAAAGAAAAAAAACATATCCAGAAATAATTGTAATAATTTAGGCGGTTTAAAGTTTCAATCACCAACTGGCTGACTGACTGACTAACTGATTGATTGATTGATTGACACACATTGATAACCAGGCACCAGGGAGTACTTATTGAACAGCCTGCTAAAACTAGCTGTATTGTTTATCCTCCTTCTTTGGATGGGACTCCTCTTCAGAAGTAGTAGCAGCGGCAGCGTTAGTACTACACACACACACTCACGACATCATCAGCCTGAATTTTTAGAGGTTACAACAAGACCAGCCAGCCAGCCCACCCCACTCCACATGAATTCACGATACACAACGCGGCAAGTGAATAAATAATGAATGAAAGAGGAGGAGGAGGAGGCATTAGAAACATACAAATAAACACCCACGCATACTGTGTGTTTTTTTTATCTTACAGTATAGTTTTTATAGCTAATAATCATCAGTCAAAATATATTTCTATAATTATCCAAGTTAATTATTGAAATCACATGATGAATATTAAGAACTTGTTAACCAAATAAACAAGGGAATAAGAAAACCTTGTTACATAACGCGTGTAACTGCGTAAGGGGGCAGAAGAGTGTCCGCCCGTCCACTCACACACACACACATACAACATACGGAAAAGCAACCGAAGACAAACAGAAGAGAGAAGAAATCATGGTGGTCTGTTGTATACGTATGTGTCAGTTATCAAAGTATACAACATACATAACCCATCGGAATATAAAGATATATAAAATAAATAAAGCTGTAATAATAACAGCAGCATTAGTAGTGGTAATAAAGACTATTGCATTGTAGTCATGTCCTCCTCATACATAAAAAAACTGTTATAGATAGAGTTGAGTTATACAACCAAATAAACAAGAATCCGTGCATCTGTCAGCATTATTAGTTCATGCAAAATAAAGAACGAGATAAAGTTTGTGAGCAACTCTTGCTCCCACATACACACAAAACATATACACGTACATATATATATACTACTGATAAAAATCGTCTTATAGTAGTAGTAGTCAGTTCAAAACAACTTGAAAAAAAAAGATTATTTTCTAACAGTAAATAAAAATTGAAATATCCACTAGAAAGGAGAAATAAATAAAATTTTCTAGAAAAAGACAATGGTGATTATACAGTAATGTTTATACAAAAGAAACTAAAGAAAAAAGAATAGATAAACAATACAATACTAGTGTGTTTTTTGAGTAGAGAGAGAGCAGGAGTGGGACAGGGAGAGGGGAGTGAAAGTAGGAAAGTAAAGTTATGTTTTTTAATGAATTTCATTTCATCCCCCTACCCTTGATTATTATTTCATTGCACTTGTTATAAATGTGTATAGTAATAATAATCATAATAATAATAATACGGAGGGAAGCGCATATGCACACGCCAACCGATAAAAAGTAACACTAGAAAAAGTAGAACAAAAGGAGTGGCGCCTTAATTCCCAACTTTTTTTGTGTGTCAAAGAAAACAGGGAAAAAACGAACAAAGAGTATTCAACAGTTATTTTAACCCGATAAGTAACACCGGGCTATGATATATAGTAGTGAACACACAGACATACTTGTCCTCCCTCCTCTCTAATATTATATATAAGGGCTGCTCCTATTACCACCACTATTCGAAGCTGGCGGGCGACCCAACTACCTCCACAATGTGTAAAGATAGATAAGTTAAGAAACCATTAAATTGAATATGCATACAATTAATTATATAAATACATACATACATAGGTCAAATTCGCGCACAACAACACGTGTGCATAAATACAGATAAAAGTGAAGTAATACAATAATGTAGTAATGATAAGAAAGAAATATTCTATGAAAGATTGATTTTTTTTGTCTACTTGAACACTTCCCTCCGACTTAATGATCAAAAATATTTTTAAAACAAGAGAAAGAATTTTGAGTATACATTGATCATTTTGGAGAATAGATAGTGGAAAAAGGCGTCTTTTTTTGACTTTGTTATTACTCCAAGAGCAGGAAAGGGTGACGAAGGCGGGTAGGGCAGGACAGTGCAAGGCGTTCTGATATCATTCCAAAGATTCTTTAATCAATAAAACCTGAAATTTGAGAGAGAAAAAGAATTAGACAAAATTTTTGACAGTATCTAATTAGTATGTTTTAAAGCTGTAACGGAGTGTTGATTGTCGTCTAACTTGACTAGAATATGGCTTCAGATAGATGATAACTGATCGCTTTAAAATATCCCCCCTCCCCTCCCAAAGAAGTTAGATTTATCTGAGACAACAACAAAACAAGATTTATATGGCTTTTACATAAATAACCAATATCTGAGTGATTATATGACTATCCAATCAGGTTATCATGCTATGGTGCACGGTGCATTAAACATGACTTTACGACTACGTACAACAGGTTGTCCGTCCTAACACAACCCCCCTCCTCCGCCCTCTTGAATAGATTTCCGATTGGAGGACTCACTGGAAGACATGTGTGCAGGTCTTAGATACTTCCCATGTGTGATAAAAAGAATATACAAATTCTAGATTAATACAAGAACCTTAAGCCTGGAAAACAATGGAATACACAGAAGCGAGAGAGGTGATGAAAGAAAATCTTAACCAGTAATAACAAGTATTAATGAATGAGAGAAATCTAAAGGAAATCATTTTTTTCTCACTTACTGTAGAGAGTATCGTTTGAACTACATACAAGTGGTTGATCGCACTGATTTGGGAGGTGGGGGGGGGAGGTATCAAGGCCAACCAGCGATCATAGGTAAAGCAGCACAGACACGTTCAGTAGCATGAAAATCTACTCCACCAGTCAGCATAAACAACAAGATCCATATTTTCAATAGTAATGTCAGGGTCAGACTTCTACTAACAGTTGCTCTAGGTTCATACTGCGTGTGTTAGATGACCAGACACGATACGTAATAGGCAATTCTGACAACAAACCCTATCCTACCTCCTCCCAATAGAAATATGTAGAAGTAAAGAAAGATGGATAGGACAAATAGCCACACACTCAAGTGAAATTCGAATAGTGGGGGAAACGACGAGTGACATGCAGGAAATCATGTAAACAGGAAGTGTTATCACGTAAAGACGAATGAAAGCCTCTATTCCACCCAAGTAAATAAGTAATATTGTAGTGAGAGTTGTCTGCTAGCCAAAATCGGTAGACAAAAATTTACGTCAGTGTTTTACGTCCCATATGTTGGTCATGAGAAAATAAACAAGAACAAAGACTAGCTCAACAACCAATCACAGCAGACTTAGCGTAGGCGGATACAATTAGCAGATATATCTTGGAATTTATAGTGTTCTCTGAGCTCCTTGGTTTAATTGCGGAGCTTTCATCGTCTTTCTGGACGACATCTTCAGCGCAGTATTTAGGATAAAGTGAAATGATTTAAATTTCTTCATGAGTCTCCCGGTAACCATCTTTAGATATTTATTGACAAAGAGACGATTGAATAACCTCCAACGAGAAAATAACCAATCAGAAGACGTTTCACAGATAAAATAACGAATACTAATCTACATAAACGATCTGCTGCCTGTCTCTTGTCTTCCGTCGTTACAATATAACAACTACACAATAATCTATTTAGTGTACAGGCTGATATCTGCTGAAAGTTTAACTAATCTTCTATAAAGAGAGAACTTGAAAAATTGATTTTTATGTATATTATTGAGGATTATTTGGCGACAAACTCGAATGATGATAAGGTGTACAAGAATCCAATACCATCTTACCAAGTTTTCTTGAGGTAATCAAATACAGTCTTACCAAGTAAAACCTCATAGAATAGATGGAAATATGCACATTAACGCGCATCTTCTACTGCTTAACTTGGATTATTCAATTACCCAAAAAACACACACACTTTTTGTAAGATCAATTCTATTCCCATCCTTGAATCAAGTCAACCTGTCCCGGATCAGCCTAGCGTTGTTGCAACCCAATTATCCACGCCTAACGTGTCTATCCCTGCTTGTTTAATGAACTGTGTGTATGTGTTTTTACCTCGATCCGTTTAGTCAGACGGTTGAACTCATGGCCCAATCAGAGTATTTTGTGAACTGTTATTTTTTGCTGACCCATGTCTAACTTTGTACTATTCTGTCGAGTTTATCTTATTTATTGATTTTCATCTGTACTTTCCTACCTGGTTAAGTAGCCAATTAAATTCTATCTTTGTGCCTATGCTCGGTCTATCTCTCTTAAACGCTCTCTGCTTTGTGCCATGCCCTACTTGGGTTCATTCTTCTACTGACTGCTTACCTGAACGGTCGTGTCTGGTTCCGGCTAGTTCGCAACTTTGGCTTTAACGTTATTCCGCTCTGATAGCGGTACCTTGCTTTCTGTTAAGCGTTGTGCTTTGTACTCTTGAAACCGTTAAGGTTTGTTGTATATACATAATTATTGATTTGTTTATTAATAGTACCGTATAAACAGTGACCGGTTTCTTGTTTGTTCTGGACCGGGATAGCCTTTATCTACGCGTGACTTAATTTCAAGCGATATTGCGCTTACACTTTTCTCATTTACTACTTCCTACCTAATTATTTAGGATTAGGTGAGTAGATGAAATGGGATATGAAGCGCTATGAAACTCATTGGCTGCCTGAAGATGGATGGGAAGGCTTTCGTCTTCCTCTAGAAAAACACGCATGCACACATCATCACGTGTTCATAGCCTCTGACCAGGTAAGCTCAATCCACTGCCTTCACCTAGTGAAGGTATTCCTCACAAAAGTGGAAAGAGAGAATGCGGATGTCTGATGCTTACAATCGAACTGGTAGACATGCTGGCCTAATTAGGAGAGTTGCAAAACCTTATGGTGTACATTGAGATACTTAAATCCGAAAGAATGGTAATGTAGCTCCTGACGCTGTTCCACAGCTCTGTGGGTAAGGCTTCAAGTCAAAGGTTCGGAGTAGGGGTGGTCCAAGACAAGACAACCACCACCTGTTTCGCACTGCGCCTTCAGACAGTATTCCAGTCCTCGCACAAACTATGCAGCGCATCTCTTGATGTCCAATAATGAGTTTTTGATGTGGTTGTATTCTCTGAGCTAGCTTGATAGTTAGTTAATTTGCAAAGCTTTCATCATTGCTCCGCTAGGCAACATCCTCACTTCAGCGCATACTACTTCAATTTGAACTGAAGTGAGCTTTTAGATTTCTCCATGAGTTTATTAGTTAGTCATCTTCTCCTGGCGGGTGACGTTGAACGTGATTGGTTGTTTTTGTGTGTTTTCTCACCTTCTAGGCAGTTACTTGTATTGGAACTGATTATTTCTTTGACCTTTTGTGTGTGAGGTTTCTTTCTTATCGGTTGATAAATTTTATCCATCTAGATGTGTCTATTGATTGATGATTCACTGGAATACCAGTCTGGTTTCTAAAAATTCTCTTACCATTCTTGGTGTTTCCTCCGTCTAGTATTTGAACATTGGTTGTCCCAGTCGAATTGATGTCCGTGGTTGTCTGTATGCTATGAGTGATATGAGGGAGTGGATATCATGTCTTTTGTCGGCTAGCTTATGTTCGTGGATACGAAGACGAAGGGGACGTCCACTCCTTCATATCACTACACACAGACAACCACGGACATCAGTTCGACTGAGACAACGATCAAATATTAGACGGAGGAAACACCAAGAATGGTAAGAGAATTTGTAGAAGCCGGCCTGGTATTCCAGTGAATCATCAATCAATAGACACATCTAGATGAATAAAATTTATCAACCGATAAGAAAGAAACCTCACACACAAAAGGTCAAAGAAATAATCAGTTCCAATACAAGTAACTGCCTAGAAGGTGAGAAAACACACAAAAACAACCAATCACGTTCAACGTCACCCGCCAGGAGAAGATGACTAACTAATAAACTCATGGAGAAATCTAAAAGCTCACTTCAGTTCAAATTGAAGTAGTATGCGCTGAAGTGAGGATGTTGCCTAGCGGAGCAATGATGAAAGCTTTGCAAATTAACTAACTATCCAGCTAGCTCAGAGAATACAACCACATCAAAATCATCCAACTGAGCTACACATCTTCTCAATCATAACTCAATACTTAGAATATAACTTACTGGTTACACCATCGTCTGTAAATGATTGATTTTTTGACTTTATAGAAGAAGAAGGATGAGACATCATTGGAACACCTTGTTGTTGTTGCTGATGTGAATAGAAATTCTTCCTTGGACTATGAACACCACCAGTAACAGCATAATGGGATTGTTGTTGCAAATAGTGTTGATGTGTTTGACGATCCGTTGTCATCATCATCACCGATGAATCATTACCATTATTATGCATTATTGGCATATTTGATGAACGCATCATATTCCCTGTGCCACCAGCACTAGCACCACCGCCCCCAATGGTTCACAACTTGCTTGACGAGTTAAACTTCTTTGTGGTAATCTTGATTGGCTACCAATAGGATTATTACTTAGTAGTGTAGGAGGCGTTATATTAGGCAAGACTTTAACACCAAACATCAATTGACTATTATTATTATTATTATTGCTGTTACCCTGTGAATTGTTTACATTCGACGTTGATGAAGTCGTAAATACAGAGGTCGATGACGATGACGCTGGCAGAGGACTAGATACTTCTTGATGATAGCATTGTTGGTATTGGCTTTGTTGTTGTTGTTGTTGTCTGTAGGAGTATTGTTGAGGCATATTCTGATTTGTCTGTTGAAAACTTAACGATTTCTGTTGATATTGCTGTTGTTGTTGTGGAGGAGGAGGCGGCGGCGTCGGTGGAGTACTGCTCATATAAGGATTCGACTGTACTCGACTATTATTAAAATTATTATTATTCCCTGATTCATGTGACAATGTAAATGGTGATGGATTTTTATTCCCAGCAAAATCAGATAAATTTAATCGTGAATAATGTTGATTATTGTTATGATTGATATGCGGACTATTATTATTACTATTATTCAGTAGCATATTGTTATTGTGTGAAGCTATTTCACGACTTACACTACTTGAACGTCTTGGTGGGTGAATTGGACGTTCACATAGACGACCAACATGAGATGTCTGTTGATAAGCCTGTATAAGATAAATAAGTTTGAAAAGAAAACAGAAATTTTATTTCCAATAAAAATAGATAAAGGCGTTCAACGAAGAGTGTTACTCCTTGATATGTATCCATATATATATATATATATATATATATATATATATATATATATATATATATATATATATATATATATATATATATATAATATGTGTGTTTGTTTGACAGTCTGTTATATTTCGCTATGTATACATGGATCGATACTCCATTATAATTAGCCAATCATGTTAAGACTGCCTATTGATTTGTTCACACACTTGGTTGGACATTCATATATATTTTGCTCTCACACTATTGTGTGATATATTTTGATTCTCCTTGTGTTTGGAAAATAGAAGTATCATCGCAAACCTAGTGGTCTTCTGATTTCCGTCTTTCTTGCGTCAGGACTATTAAATTCTCGACCAGTACATAGCAATAATTTGGCGACGACAACATAACACTCCTCTTTTCTTTTTTATATATCTCAAGCTGTACAATTGAATTATCTTAACAACAATAGTAATATATATTTCCAAAGGTGTATACCATCCTGCACCACCTCCTAATCGAATCTGAACACCACATACTCATCCACGAGTCAAGTACAAAATCACCTGGTACTCTGTATACAAAAGAAGTTTAATTAGTTGGAGGATTTCATCATGAGGTGACATCAGTTAGAGAACCATCGGAACACTTACACTGGAGTACTGTGCACAGCTGTTCCGTCAGCCTAGTTTGGGACTTTTCATCAGTACGCACCCACCACAGGGGTTCGAGCCTAGGAACTTCTGGTTACAAGGCTAGCGAGCTAGCTCGTAGGCTATTAAGCCACTCGAACCCGATCTAACTTCTGCTAATTCATGACATAGCGCGACCACTTTGCAAGGTCTTCTTCGATGAGTTACTGTCCTCCCCTTTAACCTCCTGCACCAGATGCCCAGTACTCTCAACTGATTTTCCCATCATTCTCTTTATGATGTCAGCTCATAATGAAATCCTTCAACCAATCAAATAAAATCCCTACAAAAGAAACCAATATTTTATTTGAATTTTTTATTTTCCCGTCGATTGATTAAACCGAAATGCTCGGTCTCAGGTTGACATGTCAGGTTCTTGTGTAGATGCTTCGACGATGTCTGGGCATTTAGTATTTAATTGGTGGATGGGCACTGGGTTCGAGCCTTGGCGAGAACATCATCATCACTCACTGAGAAATGCAGGTACATCCAGCCGACGGGTCCCAAATAGGACGAAATGCGCTTCATCCTGGATTCCACTGCTAGCCACCATCCATCAATTGTATACACATACATCACACCACTGTCCCAGTTATCACTGGTACCAACTGCCGGTCCCTGCATAACGAAATTCTGGATTTTTTAGTCCCTGTTGTCGTCCGGAATTTACCACAATACTGGTATTGTCACTCTACAAGAAACCTGGCTCCATGACTCATACGATGACAATATTGTGTCTCTAAACAATTTCAATGTTTTCCGACAAGACCGTGTTTGTTCCAAGAAAAAATGTGAGGAGGTGTTGCAACTTTTATTCACTCAAAATGGTCCATTTCTAACAAAGTTTGTTTCAAATTCTCGAATGACTTCATTGATTGCATCACTGTGAGATGTCGCCCGAAACACCTGTCAAAATACAAATTCATTTATATTTCTAATGTTTATGTCTCTCCTGGCTGTACCATATTGGATTTATCTATGTTCGCTGATGAATTCACCGCTTTTGCTGCAGCTTGCTTCGAGAACTCTTTATCAATAGTAACTGGCGACTTTAATGCATGCGATCACTCCTTCCTTATATCACTTGGTCATGACAATATTGTTAACTTTGCCACCCGTCTTGGTAAAACACTGGATCTAGTATTTATCAATGATGTTGGTATATATGAAGCTCGCAAACGTGCTCCTTTACTTAACTCTGACCACTGCATCATACGTGTACTGCCTAAAATATATTCCAAATCACACAAAGGTGTCCTCTCTCACCTCTACAGTAAAGTTCAACGGAGATGCTACTCAAAAGACAACCTAGACAAGCTCAGATGCATGTTGAAAGACACTAACTGGGACTTATTTACAGAACAAACATTAGATGAAACAATCACAAACACTACTGATTATCTTAAATTCTGTTTCGAAATATGTTGTCCTAAAGAAACATTATTCATCCGATTTGATCGCTTATCTTCGCCATATCTCAAAAAGCTACGTAGAAATAAAGAACTGTTGTTCAAAACTAATGATAAGCCTGGTGTAAAAAAGTTAAACATGCTGATAAAACTGGAAATAAAAAGACTAAGTGTTTTATATAATCAAAGATTTTTGTCATGTAAAACCCCTTCTAATTTATGGAAACTTTTCAAAGAAATTACTAACGGTAAGCGATGTATTTCTGTTCCATCTCTTAATGTTGACACTCTTAATAAATCTTTCATACGCTCTTCTGTTGATACCCTTCCAAATGATACAAATCATATTGACAATAACTTTAGTGGTTTTAATACCCTTGATGTGCTTAAATGTCTCCGGTCTCTTAAGCCTTCTCAAAGCCTTGGTCCTGACGGCATACCTGCCATTGTCCTCAGGAATTGTGCTGATATTTTGTGTTATCCTCTTACTAACATTTTTAATGCTTCTTTTTCCGGTAACGTTCTACCTTTTGCATGGAAAAACATTAAAATTATCCCTATACCAAAACCATCTTCTGGTTCTGATATTAAATTTCGGCCTATTGCAATTACTTCCCCCTTTTTAAAATTGATGGAAAAATTACTTTTACTTCGTCTTGAACCCGCTTTGAAACCTTTTAATGATCCTAAACAATTTGCATACAAACATGGTAGAAGTACCTTGGATGCTGCGGTTGTCTTATATCACAATGTTGTCTCTTGTTTAGACAAAGGTGCTAAATATGTTCGTAGTGCTTTCTTAGACTACACATCTGCTTTTGACTCTGTACCTAGGGGCCTTTTATTAAATAAGCTATCGTTGACACAAACAGGATCCTGGGCTAAGAGTTGGTTGCATTCCTATTTTTCTGATAGAATGCAGTATACTGTATATAACGGCAAATCTTCTTCTACCTCGCTTACAAAATCCGGTGTTCCACAAGGTGCTGTCCTCTCTCCTTTTCTTTTTTCTTTCTTCCTACATGACCTGCCTCATTCAAACGAAACTAACTTTGTCAAATATGCAGATGATCTGACTGTATCACTGCCTATCACTTCCGAGTCTGACAGCTCCAAACTTAATAGCTTTCTGTTGGACATCAACAACTGGTCCAAGTCAAATGGTCTTATATTAAATCCTTCCAAATGTCAGGCATTGACTTTACTTTCAAGCATCGACGTGACTTACTTGAACTAGTTAGTTCGCATGATCCCTGTAGCATAGATGGCACGGAAATTGAAACCAAATCAAGCATTAAATACCTTGGATTAGTTCTTTCCTCTGACCTTTCATGGTCATCCCACATCTTATCTATCTCTAAGAAAATGTTTCGTCTTACCTTCTACATTAAAAAGTTAAGACAATCAGGTATCAACCAACCTTTAGTTTTGCAATTTTTAAACTCCTGTATTTTACCTATTGTACTCTATTGCTCTCCATTAATCTTTCCTGGGCTTCTCAAAAAAGATTATATCATATTACGAAGAGTATTAAATGCTGTGAGTAGAGCTTGTGGTCTGCCACTGCATGAGCTCGCTAATACTATAGTCGAGAGGCATATAAATTCCTGTACGAAATGGGCAAAGGCTATACTGTCAGACCCTCTGCACCCCTTTTATTCACACCTGTCCCCTTGTATCTCATCAGGTAGGACGAGAAGTCAATATAAAAAGTTATATGCTCGTACCACTAAAAAAAATAATAAAAATAATTTTTCCTTCACGTTCCCTTGTGGAACATAGGGCTTCAAGCTAGTGGCTTGAAGTTTCTGTAGCAGTGTTTATTTTACAGGATGAGGTTGCTAGCCTCATGCCCAACCTTTCCTCTTTACCAGGATTGTTTCTGGCTTGGCGAGGTAAAGGAGTGCGCCGGCCGGGAATTGATCCCCGGACCATGTGCATGGTCGGCGAGCGTCCTAACCGCTATGCCACCGACGCACGCTCGTACCACTAAGTATAGAAATTCCACAATACCCTATTTAGCCCGTACTTTATGTGACGATGACTCTGTTAGACGTGAAACTTATAAGTTACTATGTAATTAGCATAGTGAATCGACTCTTTCATCGTTCACCTTTCTGTATTTTATGGTGTCACACTTTCTATCGTTTAATTATTACTCTGCTATTTTATTTTAGTTGGTATTACTATTATTACTACAATTTTGTATTTTATACATATTTTTCTCCGTATGGCACACAGTATTTTGCTACGTAGCTGCTGTAACAATCGTTTTATTACTATTATGTAATGTGTATTTTTAATTTTTTTTGTCGTTTTTGAGTAAATTAGATGCAATATTGTACTGAGTGCTGAAAATTCCTTGCTGTATCATTAGTACTGCTTTTGGAATAAAGCTATTATTATTATTATTATTATTAAATCTCTACCCCTTATTGCACAAGTGTTGCTAATTTGACTGTCGTTCAATTCAAGTTGGATTCTACTCGATCCCGTCAATTACACTAAGCTACTCACTTTGCTTATTGAATTTCATTTTAATTTTTAACCCCTCCCTTAACGCTTTCTACACTACGTAATTCGCTATCTAAAAAAAATTCACAATTCTAATGATAGACACAATTCTGGGAAATATTCCCTTTTGCTGGTAAGAAAATTTATTACAGAAGGCATTTGTTTTATCCCCGATTATTAAACTTGTCAGCTGAATATATCCCTCCCTATCTGAGGGGATGAGGGGATGCTGTTCCCAAGTGAGATATATTCAAACCATGGGTATTCATCTTTTCAAACACAAAGGCATAATCTATTAAATCAATATGTGCTACTGGTGTTTCTGAGCATACATACACAGTTAAAACATAAGGACTTCTTCAGTGTGATATATAACGCTACAATACAAGATACAAACAACTTCATACACAGACATATTTGCTATACAATAGAGAATCACAAGTTGCGTATATATATCTTCACGTATTGTGCTGATCTGGTTTCCCCTTTCATGTGTTCCGCATATTGTCTAACAATTATCCCACCCCCCGTTGAATTATCCCCATTTCTACTCAACTTCATCATAGATGTATTATTGCCCTTAACCCTAAGTGACTACAGCGACTCAGGGATTGACTTGCTACCAGGGAATAATCTCATTGACTTAGAATATGCAGACGATATAGTCCTCTCTTCTAGGCGAGGACGCAGACAAAATGAACACCTTGAGCTGCAATCTACGAGTGTTTGACATGCGATTCGCTCCGACCAAATGCAAGATGATTTTACAGGAATGGACTACAGCGACTCCTAGTTTAAAAATAGGAAGCGAAGTGGTAAAGCACGTTGACCGCTTCACTTACTTGGGAAATACCATCAGCCAGTGCCAACGGGTTGATCTCTGACGAAATCTCAGAACGGATACAGAGGGCTAGTTTCGAATATGCCAGTTTACGCCGTCTCTGGCGTAGACGTGATATCCGGCTGGCTGTCGACCAAAGGCCGGGTGTACTGCTCATCAGTCCCCTCCGTCCTCCTTTATGGCTGGCTGTGAGACCTGGCCATTGAGAGTGGAAGACATGAAAAGATTAGCCATCTTTGATCATAGGTGCCTGCGTTCTATTTCCCGTGTGAAGTGGTATAATAAGGTGAGCAATATTGAGGTTAGGCGTCGAGTTCTAGGTAAGGAGGGGAAATCAGTCGACGAGGTTGTGAAGCTACATCGACTGAGATGGTTAGAACATGTTGTTACGTATGCCTAGTCGTCGCCTTCCTCGACGGGCAATGTTAGCTGACATAGGGTCAGGCTGGAAAAGCGCTAGCGGAGGTCAAACCAAAACATGGATTCAGTCAATGAAATCTACAACAATTAGTCTAAGCCACGTAGGGAGGTGTAGACTTCCTGACTGACTGGGGTCTTCGGGACGGTAAAAACCAATGGTTGGAAACAATTGGTGACATGGCTCAAAATCGTTCTCAATGGCTGGCTCAGATCCATCCACTCCCTGTGACTTATGATTTCCAATGAAACTGTTTTGTTCTTCGTTATTACTCTTCCTTTGTCTCACACCTCTGTTTACTGTCTCTATTATGCATTTCTTCTACTTTCTTCTGTTTGTTTGTGTTCTACGTGGAGGGAGTGTGGCGACTTGAACTGGTGCACATATGTGCGAAGTTCTATGTCGAAAACAGGCAGACAGATTGTCTAACAAGCATCGTTCATTGAATCCATCATCTCTCCACCATCTTTCGATATTCTTGACACTTATACAGATAGGTATTTATATCTGCATCTATATACCACTTATAAATCTTGTCAGTAATGCATACCTCAAATATACATACATAAATATGCTTGTATATAGAAAGAATTTTGCTTATATCTTTGCACATCAAAAGTGCTAATATTCTACATTAATGACAAAAAAGAAAATACTGAAATCGATTTTGAATTTTTCTTAACCTATTTATTCCAAAAAATTGATACACCGATTCACACCTACACTTCTACTACTACTGTGTTAGTAAGATACAGACGACAGTATGTGCCAACGGAATGTTAATCGCATCACATATAGCCACAGTTCACAATTCGACATTAGCAACAGAATACAATATATCTATTTGAACATTCTATTTGATGTTAGAGATAGAATATACTTCCCATTAACATAAGAATACTATGTACATATTTGAGCATTCTAATTCACATATCATTCAGTGTAAACCACAGTCACATGCTCAGTGATCAATAGAAACAATACCTTGGCTTCCGTGTCTTGCTTTCTGTTGTTAGACTACTGCTTTTTCATATATAGAGGTGCAGTATGGGTGTGTGTGTGTGCGCGCGCGTTAATAAGTACAGCCCATGAGATGGCTCCGTATAACCTAAAGGTTGTCAATCCTACCACCTCTTTGGGAGGGTGATCGTGGGGGGTGAGTGCACTGCCAAACAGTCCCAAAGTGGAAGAACGAAACACAAGTGTTCAGTACTACTCCCTTTACTTGGGTTTTTTTCATTGCCTCTCTTTTTTTTCATTTCTTCACGTTCCCAGTGGAACACAGGGCTTCAAGCTAGGGGCTTGAAGCTCCTGTAGCATTGTTTATTTCTATGAGATGGGCTTTCTAGCCTCATGCCAACCTTTCTTCTTTACCACTTTTATTACTGGCTTAGCGTGGTAAAGGAGTGCGTTGGCCAGGGATCGAAACCCAGACCACATGAGTGGTCGGAAAGCATTCTACCGCTGTGCCACCGATGCACATCGATTCTCTAACTTGTTGGTATTAGATGGTTGAAGGCAATCGGCAGGAAGCTTTGATTGACCTATATTTCATCTGTCTGTCTGTTTTCGACATAGAACTTTGCACATATATGCGACAGTTCAAGTCGCCACACTCCGTGCAGCACGCAAAGCAAGAGAAGAAACTAAAAGAAATGCATAATAGAGGTGTGAGACAAAGAACTATGTAGTTTCATTGGAACTCATAATTTATAAGGAGTGGATGTGGATCTGTGCCAGTCAGCCATTGAGAACGATTTTGAGCCAGCCATGTCACCAATTGTTTCCAACCATTGGTTTTTACCGTCCCGAGAACCCCAGTCAGTCAGGAAGTCTACACCTCCCTACGTGGCTTAGACTAATTGTTGTAGATTTCATTGACTGGTGACATGTTTTGGTTTGACCTCCGCTAGCGCTTTTCCAGCCTGACCCTATGTCAGCTAACATTGCCCATTGTCGAGGAAGGCGATGACTAGGCATATGTAGGATTGGATTTTAGATACTATATTAGTCAAGCTAGTCCCTCTGTGGTTATCACAGGAAGATCTGTCTCCCCTCTTGTATATGGGGATAATCAGTGACTTACACCAATCCGACGGAACTTTCTCTGCTTCCCAGACGCTTTCTAGTACTTCAGTTATTGCCGACAGTAAACTTTCTCCACCGTACTTAAATACCTCTGGAGTCATTCCATCAGGTCCTGCTGCTTTTCCTTGTTTCAGACTAGTGACAGCTTTAGTAACCACAGTTAGGGATTTCATGCTTGTTGGCACTCACCAGTTAGCAAAGCGTATCTGCATCCTTGAAGAAACTCATGTCCCTTGAAAGATTCGAATCCGCATCACCCAGTGATTATTGCAGTCAGTCGATTGCCTTCAACCATCTAATACCAACAATTCACAGTGCACCGTAATGGTGTGCCACGTAGCATGTCGGTCACATTGCAAACTCCACTCACTGAGAGAATTCAGTCTGCATCAAAGATAGGAGACTAGACACACACACGCACACACATTACACTAGTTACTGCCTAGCGTTCAATCAAAGATTGTTCAGTTTCATATTGGTGGTTCATAACCAACTTCAAATCATTAAAAATTACACACACTCACCTGACTACCTCGACGTATTAAACCTGGTGTTACTATTGAAGCATAATTACTATTTCTCAAGGATGAATTTAAAGGAGGTGATGATGGACATATGCCTGGATTTGTTCCATCTAATGACTTTTTAAAGTATTCTGATTGTCTACGACGAAATGTTGATGTACCAGAATTGACACATGTTGTAATATACTCATTATCATTTGTGCTACCACCAACAGCAACATTCGATTGCAATAGATCACATGTACTCCCGCCAACACCGACACCAACACCACTAACAAGACTTCCACTAATAAATGGTGTCGACGGTGTCATCGGTAATTGTCCAATTGTTGTTGACTGTGATGATGATGATGATAATAATGGTGATTTATTGATTTGATAGGTTGATTGATTCAATAAGGCAGGATTATGATCATATTCCCATGAATTATGCATATTATTATTATTGTTGTTGTTGTTATTATTACCTCTGGTAATTATGTCCGATAGTGGTGCAGTAGTCAGACCTCCACCAACACCTGTAGAGACAGGCGGTGTATAACAACACTTCTCTCCCTCGAATTCTTTCCCATTGGATACAATAGATGGCCAGATAACTTGAGATGATTGGGATAAATCTGTTCATCAGTTGAGGGAAAAGAAGAAGAAGAAAAACAAATTGTGAATTGTTCCAATGAAATGAAGAAAGGGAGACGGAAAACTAGTAAAAACATGCAGTTAGTTCATCAGGAAATTCAATTTTCTATAAGTCTATAAGAGACAAAAGTTGTAAAAGCATTCAACTGCCTAACATTAAAAGCTTCAGATATGCTCAAAAACCGTCTGTCTAAAGCAGGCAGTAAGACGTTCTTTGCAGCGAAATTTTTTTTTTTGATTTACAGCTTGATTCCATACTGTATTTTTGGTACAAGTATGGAATTTTCAGCATGGATATCAATAGCCCAAATTTTGCAGGCCGACCATAGATATCAAGTGTGCATCGGCAGGGGATCGAACCTCGGATCATGTGCATGGTCGGTGAGAGTCCTAACCGCTGTGCCACCGATGCACCAGCTGCAAGTTGTTCTCTACCTCTGTAAAAGATAAGCTCCCCCGTTTGGCCGCCTCCACGTGCATCTATCAGTTCACCTGCTCTTGTGGAGCAAGGTACATTGGCAGTAGCCAGACGACGCCGCTTTCCACAGATGGATACGAGAACATATTCCAGCATAGTTTCACCAGGGAGAAGGGAAGTGTGTGCAAAGCTTTAATCTAAAACACTTGATCGAATCGTGTCACTTTTCCAACCCTGACGATGATTTTAAGATTATCTATCGAATCCATGCACACTTGCCAGCCGCGTTTTCTTCGTTACAGACTTCTAAAGACAGTGGAGGCCTTGGCATTTCATGACTTTAAGCCAAACCTTTGTGTATAAAAGAAGTATGTACAATCCCTACTTGTGCCTTGGCCGTAGAGGAATAGACATTTATTTATTTTGTTTATTTAGTTATTCTGCTAACCTCTCCCTTATTACTACGATTATTATTATTATTGTCATTATTATTATTACCATTATTCTCTGAATTATACTCTGAATTGTTCCCGCTTGTCCCACTTGTCATTCTAAGTGAAAAATCCTTTTGTAATGACGAATTCTATCTTATTAAATTTCAACCAATGTTATGTAGCATTTTATATTCGCCTACTAATCCTATAATTACACAACCCTTTCCAACATCTATACACCTTACGTATTATTCTATATATATATGACATTAATTGTTTTGCTAATTGACATTTAACTATGATGAAAATCACAAATATTTTAATTGCATTTCATACTACTATTATTATTTCATGTATTCACATCTTTGATTCAATTCCCTCACATGATATACTTTCTTAATATAACAATCTCATATATATACACATGTACAGCCTGATAATCGATTCGTTGAAAAGAGTCTCTTCGCTGAATATTATGTTCTTAATGCTACAATGGGAATTATTAAGTTATTAATATTAAACAAATCAGTCTGAGATTATTTAGGATGTTATTTTCTCACCTCACCATATTTTACAATTGATCATTATCAATACATCGTCTAATCCTTTACTTCGACTAGACGCATGATGACACTAGTTAGTCCCCAATCAGTACCATCTGTTTGTCTGTCTGTTTTCGACATAGAACTTCGCACATATGTGCACCAGTTCAAGTCGCCACACTCCCTCCATGTAGAACACAAACAAACAGAAGAAAGTAGAAGAAATGCATAATAGAGACAGTAAACAGGGGTGTGAGACAAAGGAAGAGTAATAACGAAGAACAAAACAGTTTCATTGGAAATCATAAGTCACAGGGAGTGGATGTGGATCTGTGCCAGCCAGCCATTGAGAACGATTTTGAGCCAGCCATGTCACCAATTGTTTCCAACCATTGGTTTTTACCGTCCCGAAGACCCCAGTCAGTCAGGAAGTCTACACCTCCCTACGTGGCTTAGACTAATTGTTGTAGATTTCATTGACTGGTGAATCCATGTTTTGGTTTGACCTCCGCTAGCGCTTTTCCAGCCTGACCCTATGTCAGCTAACATTGCCCATTGTCGAGGAAGGCGACGACTAGGCTAGGAATACGTAACACATGTTCTAACCATCTCAGTCGATGTAGCTTCACAACCTCGTCGACTGATTTCCCCTCCCGCCTTACCTAGAACTCGACGGATGCCTAACCTCACCTCAATATTGCTCACCTTATTATACCACCTAATGCACACCGGAGATAGAACGCAGGCACCTATGATCAAAGACGGCTGGCTAATCTTTTCATGTCTTCCACTCTCAATGGCCAGGTCTCACAGCCAGCCATAAAGGAGGACGGAGCGAACTGATGAGCAGTACACCCGGCCTTTGGTCGACAGCCAGCCGGATATCACGTCTACGCCAGAGACGGCGTAAACTGGCATATTCGAAACTAGCCCTCTGTATCCGTTCTGAGATTTCGTCAGAGATCAACCCGTTGGCGCTGGCTGATGGTACTTCCCAAGTCAGTGAAGCGGTCAACGTGCTGAGGCAGTAGCATCTATCACGTTTAGTGTGAGGATGAATACTCGGTGAGCACATATCGGCTGGTGGTCGCGCCGAAATCACCGACTGACAAAGTTTACAAACTGCAGGTCATTGGTTTCCTGCTCAAGTGACTGAATGGTCAATGTACTTGGCCTCATAACCAGAAGGTACTGGGGTTCGATTCCTGACAGTGGAGTTGTGGGTGCGTACCGCTGAAGAGTCCAAAAACTAGGATGAAACAACCGACATCAATCCATAATCAAACTTGAAATAAATCCTATCTCCTCTACAAAGTAACTTTTGAGAACATCAATCTAAATTTACAACCAGTCGCCAATTGTTTCTTATAGCTAGACATCTATAGTCGGGACATATTTCGTATATGACACGGGGTAAAAAGGAGAAAAACAAGGGCGGCATAAGTTAACCTACTCGGATCAAATTTGTTCATGTTAGTAACAGCATAAGACTCTTCAGCATGACCATTACCAGCACCAATAGGCGGAATAGAGGGGGGAGGAAGAGGAGGAGGAGGCGGTGGTGAAGAAGTTATCACTGAATCATTCAACTGTAGGCTAAACTTTCGACCAGCATACAAGGAATTGCTGTTGATACTGCTGACAGTTTCATTGTTGTTACTGTTGTTTGTTGAGGTGACAGTAGGCGAATTCTGACGATTTTGAAATTTACGTGCAGCTGCTTTTTTCAATTCATTCAAATTTGTATAGACTGGTGCAGGGATAGCTTGATTTGGATATAGCATTGGTGTTTGTCGAGCTAAGAATTTACAAGAAAAAAACACAGAACAGTCCAATTAATGCTACTATCAAATATTATAAGTAGTATAGTGGCGAACGGCAAAAAGCATTTGAGGAATATAATCCAGGTTGTCCGTATAAAGACCTCACTGACAGTTAAGGAGTGAACAGGCACCATAGCTGGCTTACTGTTACATCCAAATGATGAGACCTTCGCGAATGTTATTCCCAGCCGGCATCGCTCGTTAGTTCAATGTGATATGCAAGGGCCACAACCATGTCACAGTGGCTATCTTTTAGGACCCCAAAATAACCTAGTAGAGCCGAATCCCGTCTTCCTCCTCTCGAAATGCTCTCATGTACCAAGTAGGTCCTATTCAATGCCTTCACTCGGTAAGGGTGTTCCTCACAAGACATAAAGGATGAATGTAGACGTCTTGCGCTTACACAACCGGACTAGTGGACTTCTTGATCCAGCCCCCTTAGGTATCACATTCTCCAGCAGACAGTTAATCCAGTCTAACGTTAAGGATAAGAAACCGCTTTTGGCCACCTCAATGTGTATTTATCAGTTTAATTGCTCGTGTGGAGCAAAGTATATCAGCCGTACGCAACGTCAAGTCCACAAACGTATTCTGGAACACTGTCCAGCTTGGTTAGCCATAGGAGGAAAGAAAAATAACAGCAGCTCTATCCTCCGACACGCTGTCATCTCCAGTCATCGAGCAACCCCGCATGAATGTTTCACAGTGCTAAACAGAGTCCCTCAATATCGTGCGAAAAGACTTCAAATACTCCATCTGTACATAGCTGAAGCATTAGCTATTCGGGATTTGAGACCGGGCCTCTGCATTCAATACAGTTACATACATTCACACTCGCCCCACCTTGACCACAGTAACGTTCTTACTATAATCTTGTTTCTTCTTTTTTATTATGTAAGTTTACTATCATTATTATTATTTTATGATCATTATTATTCTCATCATTCATATTTTATCACCACTCCATCACTGTTTATTAATAACATCGCTTTTTCATACAGATTTTATACAAAAACACTTTATCGCCTTTCCACTAGTTCCTGTCTATTCTACACGAGCTTATTGATTAGTCATTATCTCACACTTATTACGTAATGCAAACTTCTGCCTCTTTTCTAACTTACAGTTAGTCACCCCATCCAGGTTACACCTTACACTACGTAATACATTTTCCAAGGACACAGTCTACCAGTATATGATTGGTCTAAAGATTTCTTTGTTAAATTATATATATAATTGTACGGATCATGAAAATGAATCATTGAAAAGAAAATTTTCTTCGCTGTTTACGCCTTTTTCTTATGACTCAATGTGGAAATACTTCGTTCATTGAAGAACTCCAAAGATCCAGCTAAAATAGCCGAAAAACCATGATTCTAAATGTCTAGTGCTTGTGTAAATGAGCTCCAGAATCTGAAAGGATCAAACAGACAATGAACCTGTTACGGTTACCGGCAACCATGAGAACACACAGAGTTCCTGACGCTGCTCCACTGTCTTTTGGATTAGACTTCAAGTCAAATGCCCGAAAGTTGGGCTTTAATTAGATCTGAGTGTCCGGAAAGTATCTCTGTCATCGTGCAAAACTATGCGATTTTGTGTGGCGCATCCCATGATGCCCATAATACACCAAGTTAGTATTTGAATGACAATAATCGATTAGGACGCAGAAGCATACTGAGATTCGAAGCTGTGTAATGAACGTTACAGTCTAATACAATGGCATTAGAGTAGTAGTAATAAAAAAGGCCATACACATAAATGCTTACATTTACTCAAATCTTGACTACTTTGATCTAATTTTTCATCATCAGTCTCACCATCATCAGTATCATCGTTTGTTGTCGCTGTTGTTGTACCACCACAACCTCCAGATCGATCACCAATATCACCACCCCCACCACCACTATTACTTGTAACATCATGACTATCGTCCACATCATCATCATCTCTTATATTTCCATTCTCTGATGTATATCCACCTTCAGCAGCAGAAGCAGAAGCAGCAGCAGTATTTGTGTGTTGTATTCTACGATCATTGAAATTACCATCTTTATTTGTTAGACCAGGTAGAGGAATCCAGTCTAGTGAAAAAAGTCACAAAACATACAAAGTTAAGGCAGAAGTTTAAAAAGTCAAACATAGATTAGTGTCCCTCGTTAGTTCAGAGATGCAGTATAAGTAATCTAGTGAAACTTTATACGACTATGCGTTATACACATTTATACACTAAGGCCTAAAGATAACAAAAAAGTTCTGGCAGTCCACCTGAGTATGAAAGAAAGAAAGAGGCGAACACACTAATGACCATTGAAGGAGGTTGTAGCGTTGAAGGCTTCATTTAGTCTTTTAACCCTAACCTTAAAACAAAACTATCTCTAGCCTACCTTGAACCAACTTTATCATTTATCATTATCATTATTGTTATAATTATTATTATATCCTTTAATTCCTAGAGGAACATAGGGCTTCAGCCACGCGTCTCCACTGCCTTCGGTTATCTGCCAACTTTTTCACCCCACTCCAAGTCTGCCCACATGCTTTCATCTCCTCCTCACATGACCTCCTCCAAGTCACCCATGCACTGACGACCAACTCGCCGCTTCCCTTTCGGGTTCCACTCCAGCGATGGCATGGCGTGTGATGTCACTTGATGGTTTCTTCTGGGTGTGGCCAATCCATCTCTATTTCTTCCTGCATATTTGTTTCACAATCGGTTCCTGGTTGGTTGGTTCGCTCATTGCCAGAGATCCCTCCCTGTTACTGATCTTTTCTGGCCGGCCATCTGATCTTGAGTATTGAGCGAAGACAACTGTTGATGAAGGTCTGAAGTTTGTTTGAGATGCTCCTTATGACTCGCCAAGTCTCTGATCCGTATAGAAGCACTGATTTTACATTGGAGTTGAAAATCCGGACCTTATTTTTGATGCTGAGTGCTGTTGACTTCCACACAGACTTAAGAGTAATGAAAGCCTGTCTTGCTTTTCCGATTCTGGTTTTGATATCCTCATCAGTTCCGCCTGTAGTTGAAACGATACTTCCCAGGTAGGTAGGTAGGTAAAGGAGTTTCTTTCTTTCAGGTCCCTCCCATTTATGCTTATTGTTGTCTGTTGTTGTTGCTGTTGGCCAGGAATCTTCATCACCTCTGTTTTATCTATGTTCACCAGCTTTAATATATCTCTAAATTAGATTAACCGAACTCTAACCTGTCCTTAGCCTAAAACTTTATAATATCACAACACCACTTCATGAAATATATTTTATTCATGATTATAGTGTTGTCACATGCCTGGTTTCACTAGCTTACTGAGTGAGCATTTCAAAACTATTGGTGAGTTCGTGTCACTTCGATGTCTAAAGTTTGCCTTCTCTAATAAAGACCCTATAGGATATTTTATCCAAGAATAGATATCCTAAGAGGTTTATCAATAAGCACTCTAAAAAAATAAGACCCATTAGAACTACTCGAACCGTTCCAAAGATGACTGTATACACATATATATTTTTTATTATAGCTTGATTCTACACCGTATTTTTGGTACAAGTATGAAATTTTCCACATGCGATATCGGTAGTCCAAATCTGAAGGCCAACCATTGATATCAGATGTGCGTCGGCAGGGTAACGAACCCCGGTCTATCACTTAAAGAAGCTAATGTACAAAGCTTGTATTCTTTAACAACACCACCAAGTAGGTGCTTCAAAAATCCTGGAAATAGTGGTGGTCGCTAATCTTCAAAACATCTAACTGAATGTATCAGTTTGAGTGTATTTATGGAAGCAAATGCATAGATTGATTGAACGAAAAGGCGACTGTCTACACTCGCATGACTGAGCATTTGTCCAAATAGTTGACAAAAAGCTGAATTTAATGTACCAGAAAGTTCAATTTTACAGCATCTTATGGACTACGGACATAATATCGACACTGTTAAGTCATTCTGTGTTGTCAGCAGACGAACGAATAGAAAGATCTCTGTAATTGCAGGAATTAGAGCTTAAAAACCTGATCAACTTTCAGGTCAACAAAATAATCAATAACAATACAAGTGAACTAGTGGTTGAGAAAATGTCCAGAAACAACTAATCACATCCAGGGCTCAAAGATACCACAAGAGAGAGAGAGAGAGATGACTGATAAACTTATGAAGAATTCTAAAAGCTCACTCCAGATCAAGGTGTCCGCTAAAGGTGATATCTGGATCCATTTAGCTCAATGAACATATCAGCAATATATAAATCCTTCTTTTAACGCTTTTACGTTCCTAGTGGATCATAGGGCTTCAAACTAGAGTCTCAAAGTTTCGGTAGTAGTCGTATGTTTATTTTTACGAGATGGGGTTGCTAGGTGCACGCCCAGCCTTCCCTCTTTAACAGTCTTATTAATGCCTAGACGAGGTAAAAGAATTACTTGGCCAAAGATCGAACCCTGGACCATATGCGTTGTTGGGGAGCATTCCCACCGCTGTGCTACCGACACGTTTACTAATATTTAGTGCTTGTTTAAATCGTTAAGTTAAAAAAATCCTCAACCAAAAGAAACACAATGTGCCAACTTTCATACATCTAGTAACTATTTTAGTATCACTGTCGTTGTTCTTTACTCATATATTGACTAACCTTATTATAAACAGGATGAATACAAAATGACTTGTAGTACATTTTCTTACAAAGAAAACTATTTTAGCTGACAAAATTTCAAGTTATCACATTACTCGACGATAAACTTTATGTATTGGATAATCTACCTACAAGTGGCACACATGAGAATAAGAATTGCCAACACAAATGTGGTTCCAACATTTGAAGCCGGACGATATAGTAAAATAGCCATTTCCAACAGACAGACTTTCATCACTAACCGCCTTCGCTCGATATAAATCATATAAAGATGCATACATTCAGGTTCAAATAAATATGCAAAAGGAAGTGTGGAGATGGATTAGATACACACTGAGCAGACAGCTTCAAGGGATAACATACGCCAGAGATTGGCTCTCAGTGTGCAGTCGTGGAGCTAGTTCTAGTCAGAAGACTGACTGATTGGTTTCAACGCAGAACTTTACACAGAAATGCAGTAGTTCGAGTTGTCACATTCTATACAGCACATAGAAGACAAAAGACAAAAGCTTTTTGTGCCTTTGGAAGTGTATGCGGGGCTGTTAATTGCCCTCTACCTACACCTTGAAAGTCGATTTTCTCCTGAAACGCCTGAAACAGAAAGAGAATTAGTGTTGCACTGTCGAAGAGTTCAGCAGTAAACCATAGCCTGAGGCTGGGTCACACACGGCCTGTTTGAACTAGTTTTGAAAATTGTTTCCGTATTAGTAGCTTACGGACCACCATAGGTCAATTCAGAATGAACAATTTTTGAGGTCAACCTTTTCCATCCCCCTCCTCTCCAGAGTGGAGAGGCAGCATAGCTGGTGGCTTGTCGTCCATCTGACTGGAACGCCAACCTGCTGCTGTTACATCCCTGTTGTTCAGTAGAATGACTTTTCCCAAAAGACCTCAGAATAGCGTAAACATCTTGCACTGTGTCGGTAACCGCCTTTTGTCTAATTGCCAACACATCGCGGTATGAAAGACCGACCGCCACGTCAAGATAGCAGCTATCGATTGGGTCCAATCACAAGGTAAAGGCATTATGACAGTTATAATACAATAAAGGATCGTTCTCAAAGAGTTAGTTTGTAGCGATTTAATTTCTTTTAGGAGACATTAAATCGGCCTCCCAGTGACTGAATGGTCTAGAAGTTTGTTTTGTAACCAGAATGTCCTGGGTTCGAACACCGACAGGTGAGTACCTCCAGGGTACTGGACAGAACATCTGTCCAATACTCCCTGATGGTTTTCAAGAATTCGCTAACTAATGTCAATTCGTGATGAAATTTGAAACATGACAGTCACTGAGTTTGTTACATTTCTTCAAGTCGTTCACATGTGCACACAATGTAAGATATAGTGAACGATAGTTGGCGTGATTCATTACAAACACACTACCCCCGTCCCTCTGACAAAAGAATCGATCAGATAAGGACATTCATGCACACAATCACATATATATATATACACACAAACGGAAATGACAAAAACAGAAAGATATCAGTTAGAGAACCATTGAAAACCAGGGAGTACTGGACAGCTGCTGTTTCATCCTAGTTTTGGGAATCATCGGCAGTACGCACCCACTGGGTTTCGAACCCAGGACCTTCCGGTTACAAGGCAAGCTCGTATACCATTCAGCCACTGGGACCCGATTCAATGGCTCGTGAATTCTAACTTCTACCAATTCGTGATTTAGCGCGACCCCAACCATTGTCGTTGGTGGGACATCCATCCACACACGTGACATCTAATTGGACCTCACTGGTCACGACTTCTCACTAGAACTCAGGAAACTCCAGCCTGTAGCAAGTCACTAGCGAGCATCAGATTAACTTTCTATAGTTTGGTTTGTAAGGATTAGTTATGTTTTACGAGTTGATCACGGATTGATATCAGTTAGAGAACCATTGAAAACCAGGGAGTACTGGACAGCTGCTGTTTCATCCTAGTTTTGGGAATCATCGGCAGTACGCACCCACTGGGTTTCGAACCCAGGACCTTCCGGTTACAAGGCAAGCTCGTATACCATTCAGCCACTGGGACCCGATTCAATGGCTCGTGAATTCTAACTTCTACCAATTCGTGATTTAGCGCGACCCCAACCATTGTCGTTGGTGGGACATCCATCCACACACGTGACATCTAATTGGACCTCACTGGTCACGACTTCTCACTAGAACTCAGGAAACTCCAGCCTGTAGCAAGTCACTAGCGAGCATCAGATTAACTTTCTATAGTTTGGTTTGTAAGGATTAGTTATGTTTTACGAGTTGATCACGGATTGATATCAGTTAGAGAACCATTGAAAACCAGGGAGTACTGGACAGCTGCTGTTTCATCCTAGTTTTGGGAATCATCGGCAGTACGCACCCACTGGGTTTCGAACCCAGGACCTTCCGGTTACAAGGCAAGCTCGTATACCATTCAGCCACTGGGACCCGATTCAATGGCTCGTGAATTCTAACTTCTACCAATT